CACCTAGCTACCTCTTGACAAGTTAATTTAATATATTTGCCCTTTGTGAGAGAAAACTATATACTTCTATTATTCTTATTATTAACTAAACAGATCCATTCCGAATTAATTGAGATGTCAATGATGAAAGTGAGATCATCATCACCAACATCAATGAAGCCTCTTTCTTTTGTTTTAGTCCCATTAATGATTTTGGTATTATTATGTTCGGAGATGAGTGTTGTCCATTGCAGAGCTCTTCGTTCAACAACCAATAATAATAATAATAATAGAACTGGAGATTGCCAACAGCAACAAAAAGATGGAGTTGCTTCCTTTGTTGTTTCTTCTAACAATTCCAGCAGCAGCAGCAGTGACAGTGGCAGTGGCGATTCTGTTAGAAGCCTGATGTTTCAATTAGCTTCTGGGCCTAGCAAAAAAGGCCCCGGCCACTAAGATTATTCTTTTTATTTTTTTTCTTTTTCATCTTGTATAATGTTTATTTGAGACAGCATTTAATCTCTTCTTGTTTGTTTTTGTTTTTTTCCTTCCTTTAGTGAGGATAGATTTCGTAGATATAGATTGATGCATACATGTAATTCGTTGTTAATCCCAGTGAAAATGATATTAGTGACACAATTTGGTTAACTAATTATATTGACCGATCCCTTTTGCATATTTACTGATGAAATGTTTGAGCATGGAATGATGTACTGGAAATTGAGAACATTGCCTGAGAAAAATTAATAAAACCAGGTAGACGAAGACGAAGACCCTCTCTTTTGTGATAGAGTAATACAAGCAATTAAAGCAAAGTCAAAGAAAGATCATGAGGATGGAGACACATATTCTATATCGCCGCTAAACTTTGACTAGTTTTAGTATTATATTATATGTAGAGAGAGAGCTAAACTGCGCTTATTGTTCTTTCTCTATTTACTTATATGCATCTACAAGATGATGCATGATGACATATGCGTTTTGAGCCCATGCTTTGTCGTTTGCAGCTGTTCTTAACCCAGCTAGCATATATAGATATGAGTTTGGATTCTCATATTGCAATAACACCAGTTATGGTAAGAATTTCTGTTGCCAATGTAAGGTAAAATCACAGGAGTCGTTTTACTTGGAGAGATAATGTCATAATTTTAGAAATGCATCACGTAATTAATATTGGAACCATATTTTAAATTTTAGAGATGATTTCTTTTGTTAATGTGTTGTAAGATAGTTGATGAGAATATTTCCAACCTAATTACTGCCTAGTGCCCACTAATGATGAGCACAACACCTGCATTTTAATTTGTCAATTCAGTTATTTCAGTTAATCAATGCGATTCCGTTTATGATTTTAGATAATTTCAATTTTGGGTTTGATTATAAAGAACTAATAAATTAATTATACATAAATATTAAATCAAACCAACCAAATCAATTAAACTAATTAAATCATTTTGTTTGATTCAATTTAATTTGATTCTGTACATAGTTTTGTTTTTTAAAATTTGTATGTATTTCTGTATTTGAGCGAGTATAATATTCAATTAAAAATTAAAATTTTTTCAACAGTCATAGTTTTGATATTCTAAATCTGATTTTACAGATAAAAAGTTCGCCTAAAATGCTATTCAAGGTGCATGTTAACCTACGGCAAACAAATCGAGACACAATCACAGACGTATAAAACTACTGTCGGATCTTTGCGCGCAAGTCGCAATTTTAGATGATAAAGGCTGCAAGTAGAGACTTTTTTTTTTCTTAATGTTTTTTCTTTTGTTCGTTTCAGATTTTCAAATCGTACACTTTTATACTATTGGTCAAACATCGACTAATTTATCTAACCTCTCTCTCTCTCTCTCTCTCTATATATATATATATATTTTTTTTTTTTAGTCATAGTTTTGATATTCATAAAACTTCTGATCTTTTACAGATAAAAAGATATCGCCTTAAATACATTGGCTATTCAAGCGTGCATGTTAACCTACGGCAAACAATCGAAGACACATCACAGATACGTATAAAAACTACTGTCGGATCTTTGCGCGCAAGTCGCAATTTTAGCATGATAAAGGCTGCAAGTTTGAGACTTTTTTCTTTTCTTAATGTTTTTTCTTTTGTTCGTTTTTCAGATTTTCAAATCGTTACACTTTTGTGATACTATTGGTTCAAACATCGGGAACTAATTTATCTAACCTCTCTTCTTCTCTCTCTCTCTCTATTATATATTTATAGATATATTTTTTTTTTTTCTCTTGAAATTTAATCTTCAAAGAAAAATAAAATATTACGTAGCAATAGAAAAAGTGAATAATTGAAAAATAAATGGGAAAACTCATTCAAGCAGCAATGAATTCGAGCAGAGAAGTTTGTGCGTTCACACAGACATGAAACGAAAAGTCAAACCAAGGAGGAGTTAGATAATTGGTGGCATTTCCAAGTTTGAGACTTTTCGAGACATCAAATATATATTTTTTTTTTTTCTTCTGAAATTAATCTCAAAGAAAAATAAAATATTACGTTAGCATAGAAAAGTGAATAATTGAAATAAATGGGAAACTCATTCAAGCAGCAATGAATTGAGACAGAAAGTTTGTGGTCACACAGACATGAAACGAAAAGTCAAACCCAAGGAGGAGTTAGAAACATTGGTGGCATTCAAGTTTGACTTTCTCGAGACATCACAGGATTAAGATTTCCCTCTCCGACCTCAGCTTCCCTCAGTCCGTCCACAAGACAATATTTGAAAAACAAGTTAAAGTGAATTTCCTATTTCTTATTGCAATAATTTGAAAAACATTTACAATAGCTTCCCTTGCTATTTGTCGACTGACTCTCTCAATAAAATATTATTTTTTTATTTTTTATTTTTTAAATTAATTAATTCTGTCCTGAGTAAGTGAGAACATTTTCATACATACACAAAATGTACATATGCTTGTGGTGTGCAATTGGTCGATGAACATAAATTCATTTCTAGACTTTATCTTTTCGTGGTGCCTCAAACTTTTCTAAAAACTTACTGTCACTGAATTTATCAACTGCGTTAAAATTGTACCTCTTGCCTTGCTGGCACAAGAACATGTATACAAACTCGATAGAGCAAGTGAACAAGCTGAAAATAGCTTGTGTCCGAAACTCTTATTCCCCTTTTTATCTGTCATCATCTCTTTTCTGAAACAAAAGTCCGTTACCAATATCTCAATCACCAGCAAATACCAACAGTTCCTAAACCAAGGGACAAAGAGGTGACATCCAGCAATAGAAAATCATTCCACTGCTCATTGCCTTCACCTCTCAAAAAGATTGGAAAGTAGCACCGTAGCATCATAAGCAACGGCTTCATCTTGGTTAATATTATTTAGCAGAGCTCGTTGTAAAAGAATAAAAAATTTTGAACTGAACTGTTTCTAATTATCTCAGAAATTATCGTTTAACCAGAGTGTAAATCCATCTATGTTTGCTATGGCAATACTTTTGATTTGATCATGGGGATCAAGAAAATTATGAAGACAAGATCAAAGAAAGATAACTACAGAAAAAATAAGTGAAGATTACCTAGCGGATATAATCCTACTGCTGGTTTTCTTGTTGGGTTGAGACCAATTAACTGCGATTGAACCTGAAATATCGCTAAGCAATAGACACCCTTTTGTAATACATAAGGAGAGAATGTAATCTGAGATATCCAAACCAAAACCTCATATAACATTTTTCTTTTCTTAAATAGAAATGACACAAACTCCTGATCCCTGAATACAGAAATAAGAAAGGGGAAAAAAGTGATCCGATAATTACCAACAGGCTCAAATTTTTGTGCTCAACAATCTATTCCTTAATGGGCTCAAATTTGCTTCCAACATCAGCCATTTTAACTACAAAATTATGTTTCAGAGAGAGAGGGAGAGGGACAAAAATTGATTCGAGGTAATACTAGGCATGCTATTAGTTTTGTTTTCTTGGCTTTTCATATGCAATTCATTGAACACTTGATAATACAAAATGCAACTGCATACGGACAAAAAAGAGTTTAAGCATACATTAGCGAAAGCAATAGAGTCTCATAAGAAAATTTTGGCGACAGATTTTGAAACAAAAGCAGGGGAATCCAAATTCAGATGTGTCTAGGAGGAGATATTTAGATGTTCAAAAATGAGAATCTTTGAAGAAGAGCTTCTGTGTTTTTGTCTGCGTGAGAACAATCACTAATGTTGAGGCAAGAAACCCCAAACTGGGCAAAAAACTTGGAGATGCAGAGCAAGAGACGAGCATGGTGAAGAAGGGAATGTAAGTGCAAGTAGAGGAAGGGTGGAAAGTAATAATGGAGAAAGTTACAGCAATTAGTGAACAGGAATCAACGTAGCAAAATTACCAACCAGTTGTCATATGTAATTTGCCACGTCACCATGAGTGTACTTCAAGCGTTAGTTTCAGTCCTGAGAGAAACACAAGAGATCCCTGAAAATTTTGAAGTGTCACAATTTCTCTATTAAAGTTCAGAAGTTAAATATTTCTCTTAAAGTTCAGAAGTTAATATAAATTATTTGTTTGGCCTGCGTAACAATGATAAAGATCTCAATACTTGCAAACAGTTGATGGTTATATCAATGCCTGAAAGCATCATCCTTGTTCATACTCGAGCCTTCCACCCAAATGTTTATTAAAAGGATACTTCTTTTTTCTTTTTTTTTTAACAAGTTCTAAAGGACAAACAGTTGTTTTGAGTCTTTTGACAATAATAATAATTATAATAATAATGGTGGTGGTGGTGGTGGTGGTTACTGCAATCAAAACATTAGCAAGATGACTACAGCAAACAAACAAATTAATGATCAACTTTACAGATATCGAGCACTTCAACGATGCAACGCAACTTGCAGTCAAAATTCTTTTTGAATCAACAAATGCAGTACAAGCCATTTTTTTTCCTCAATTCAGTTTATATTGATTCATCCAAATGAGCCTCAATGTGCATTATGCTCAGGCCAAAAGCCCTAAAATTACACAGAGGACGAGCAGAATGCACCAAATAAGTTTGTTATTGAGAGAGATTGCAGTTTTGGAAAAATACATATCAGATGACATCAATATTACTGAAAATTCAACATGATATCCGTTATATTTGTTTCACTCTGAAAAAAGAAATCCTTCAGATGAATCAACCTTGAATTCTTATAACTTCCCATCAATCTCAGGCCAGAGATAAAAATCCTTCCCTGAGTCCCTGGAATTCTGTCAAGGCCGATCCCATCCCAGCCTTAACGAGTCTAATTTACGCAACCCAAAGATGTCTGAAAACTAAAACTCCTACAAAGAATCTGTATAGAACCACCAGACAAAAAATCAATAAAGCACAGTGTACTTGTCAAAAAAAACAAAGAACACGTTAAACTGAAGCATTTTGCCCCCATCATCAAGCAGAATCTAGCCGTAAGTAGATACGGAATTGTTATTTGACAATCACACACTCAAGGATCACGGATATATAACTTGCGAACCAAAATATAATTTATAAAACAAAAGAGATCCAATAACCAAAGTACAATCAGATATTATGTCAATAATGCATCAAGAAATACTTTAGCCTTGCCATGAGACCAGAACATCAACGTTATGCTTGAAAATAGGAAATTATTGGTCAAGAAAAAGATTTTTTCACACGTTACAAATTCTAAACATGTTACCAGAACTTTACTTCCAGATAAATACAACAAATGACAGGTTTTCTATGGGGAGGAGGGAAAAAGGACAGAGAAAAGTTGCTATCATACTGAGGAGACTACAACTCAGAATTCATCTGGATGGCTTCCATTACCATTACAGCTACAAGACTCGTGACAGTCTAAAAACTGTCAGTGTTCAGAACACAGAAGGGTTTTCTTTTCTAAGTAGGGGGCACTGAATTATCATGTTGAAGTTATCCACTGAATTATCCAAGCTTGAAAAAGGAACTTAGATGTGAGTTCAACCACAATAACAAAATGAGATGTTGGAAATAAGAACGCATCATTAATGAATATTCATGTACTTCAATGTTAAAATTCCAATTGATGCATTCCAAAAACTCAAAATATTAAGTTTGTGTCATACGATGCCTAAAATGAGAGAGAATGATCAACTTATTTCCCATCTAAGCAATAGCTTAAAAGCATCACCAAATACAAGAGACATCATTTCAACTGGCTGAAAAATTAGATGTTAAATTTATAAGCATAACAGGGCACAAAATAAGGTCACTTTGAAAAAATTGCTGTAATCTCATCAAACTGAAAAACAAAAGCTTAACGTGAAAGAAGTTTTAGTTAGGCATCAACTTATGGTTACACAACACCTATTACACAAGCCAAACACAAAAAATAATGAGACCGAGTGATTTAAATTGTGGGTAGTTGAGCTTTAGTGAGAAAATCATTGTTTTGATCAATACAATAACATTATATGTTGAACCCAAGAAAATTAACACAAAAAAAGGTATCACCGTCCATACCAGTATTATCCTATTTAACTCTCTAATTGAGAAATTTTTTTTAATGCCGACTGGGAAAAGTTTGAGTACGACATTTTGATGCTGACAAGGAAAAATGTAAGTAAAAGGGCTAGGTAGAAGGGTTGCTCAGTAGAATGCAATTAGCCTGTAGAATTAACAAATTGAAGTGTCATCACATGCACTGTGATCATATGACAGTCACAAGAACAATTTCCTTCACTTAACACGATGGTAGCTAAGCTAATCCGTACAGTGTTGAAACAATTATTAAGAGTGCTGAAAAAGGGAATGATCAAAACAACAGGAACAGACATTAGAGGAGGTACAGAGTCAGATCTATGTTTCAGTGCTGCAATCATGAATGTTACAGATTAGATGAAGAAAATGAAGTAAAATCATAGATTAGAGGGAAGAAAATATATACATAAATATTTGAGCAGACATTTTTTTATAAAATAAAGTCATTCTCCTTGTACTACTTGATGCAAGCATATTGCTTTTATACATTTTCACATTATGAATTTGATCAACCTAAACATAGCATACTGAGAAGAAACTTCAATTTTAACTATTAATCTCCTAGTATTTCATAAGAGAGTGGGGTCAGCTTAAATTCATCTATACTTCCCATAAGGATTTTAGAAGAGCAGTGGGAGAACCTGCCCTATCACCCGTTGCACACCCATGGGTTTACAACAAAGTCACAAAAAAGAAAAAAAAAATGCACAATACCAAATTGTTGATAACAAATGCTTAGGCTCAATTACCATGGTTCCAGTAGTTCCTTTCATCCATTTTACTACTTATTCAATAACTCAAGTTCTCTGCCACATTCAACAGCTCACTTTAATTAGAGAGACATAATCACTATCAAAACATATTATAATGCCCGATTTCAAAATCACTCAAGCAATTTAGACCTGGATGATCAACATAAAGGAGAGAACAATCAAGAAGAACTATTGCAGAAAACACCAATAGCCCAAGTTAAACGAATTCTAAAAGAAACCCATACATATATACATGTGGCTAAGATGTTAATGTGTTTGCACAAGATGAGCATTCTTGTAAGACCCAGAAGAGAAGGATTAAAAACACAGGTATTAACTCATCAAACAGACATGACAACCGAAAAAAGAAAAAAGTTCAATACTATAAGATTCAGAAACTAGAAACAAATCCTAGAATCTAAATAGTAGTGTAACAAGAAACTATTATCATATAATAATCAGAGAAATCCATAATTTAGTACAAACAGATCTCAAGATAATAAACACAAAAAAAAAAAAAAAAAAAAAAAAAAAATAGAGGGAAGCAAAAATATATTACCTTAAATATTTGAGCAGGAATTTTTTTTTATAAATAAAAGTCCATTCTCCCTCTAGTACCTACTTTCAGAATTCGCACAGACATAATTCAGCTTTATATTCACATTTATCACAATTATGGAGAATTGGTTGGAGTTACACATCCCCTATAACATATCCAACAGCTTACTGAGGAAGAACCTTTCCAATTTTAAGCGTTATTAATCCTGTCATTTCATAAGAGGAGTGGGGTCCAGCTTAAAATTCATCGCTTTAACTTCCATTTACGGAAATTTTAGCAAAAGAGAATCCCAGGCTGGGCATACCCAAACTACTTCCACGCGGGGCGTATTCCGAGGAACGTCTGCCCTCCCGCCCGGCCCTATCAACTCCCCCTCGTATTCGATAACTAGGACGTGTCTGTACCACCATGGTACCAAAAAAGTTTCACAAAAAAAAAGAACTAACAAAAACAAACAAAAAGTATGCAGCAAATACTTATCAAATTGTTTATGATAACTAGAATTTGTCTCCATGGCTAAGGCCTTTCAATTACATGGTCTTTCCAGTGTAGATTTCACTTTCATCGCCAATTTTAACACTACATTTAAATTACAATAATCTCAAGTTCTTTTCTGCCAATTCAAATACAGCTCACGTTGTAAACCTTAGAGAGACATAATCACTATCCATAAAACATATTATAATGCCCTACCAGGGATTTATTCTATAATCACGTCAAAGCACAATTTTACGCCCTTCTGGTGTAAAAGTGAATACATAAACTATTAAATGTATCAGGAGAACAATCCAAGAAACGAACCTTATTGACAGTGAAGAAAAACACCGCAATTATAAGCCCAAAAATGCGTTACAACCCGCCAATTCTAAAAGAAACCTACATTACACTATAATTGTAGTGCTAAGATGTTAATGATTGTGTTTGCACGAAAGATGAGACATTCTTGTAAGAATCCGCCAGAAAAAGAGAAGGATTAAAAAAAAAACATCATTTAGGTAATTTAACTCGTATTTCAAACCACATGACAACCGAAAAAAGGAAAAGTTCAATACTATCCAAGATTCAGCACAACTAGAAAACAAATCCTAGCAATCTAATACTAGATATATGTGCTTATAACAAGAATTACTTCACTATATCCACCTACTCAATAAATCAGAGAATAAAAAATCTAAATTAAGATTTTAAAGTCTACAAACTAGTATCTTCAAGAATTACATAACACACTCTCAACAGAAAAAAAAAAAAAAAAAAATAAAAAAATCCCTAAAAACCAATACCTAAATAATGAAGCTAAGAAAAACACATTCTACAACCATCAAAATTATGGTCTCCAGCGCGGGCTTCTCACTTGCTCACACGGCACTCGCAAATTTCCTCGGTTGGATGGCCTTCCCACTATCGGCTACCACACTCGAGCGATGTGTCGCGTATCCGGACACACCTTATTGGCAGCCGGCGTTCCGACCTGGGCGAGCTATTGACAACGGGAATACTCTAAGGCATTGCACACCTTCTTATCTCCTAATGGGGAGTAGACTGACGAGGATTCTCAAGGTCCATTCAATCCCTCGGCGAGAAGTTTGGCGCTTATTAGCCACACCAAAACGGCCCATACCCTATTCCTCAATTCTGCGCACGAAGTGCAGCAACCTACCGCCTCATCCATGGGGAAATCAAATCTCATAAGCGCCTTTGTGAGAGAACTCTGCACGGTCAGTAGCTATAAACCAAACGATTCCTCGAATTAGACGCAGTGTGAACGGCATCTACGACTTGTGCGCCTGCAGCTCGCGCGGACACAAAATGTGCTCTCATGCGTACAATACCACCGCTGTTGTCAGGCTTTCTCTCTGGCGCTTCACCTTGTTTGCTTGTGGCTGTCAGTTCACTGCGAGCCCGAAGTTCAAAAAAAAAAAAAAAAAAAAAAAAAAAAAACCTAAAACATACCAATATGAAGCTAGAAAACCCTAATATGCTCAGGCCTCATTCTCAACGGCACTCGAAATTTCCTCGGTGGATGCCTCCACTGGCACCACATCAGGATTCGGCGTATCCGACACACCATTATTGGCAGCGGGGTCCGACCTGGGCCGAGCTTTGACGGTATCTAGCATGCGCTTGCTTATCTCCTTGGAGTAGAGCTGGAGGATCTCAAGGCCATCATCCTCGGCGGAAGTAGCGCTATTAGCCACACCAAAGGCCTCTTCCTCAATTCGTCGGGCAGCAACCTCCGCCTCATCATGGGGAATCAATCCATAGCGCTTGGAGAGAACTGACGGAGTAGATAAAGTCTCGATTAGACGCGTGATGACGGCATCTCGAGTGCGCTGCGTCGGCGGCCAAATGCTCAGCGAAATACCGCTGTTGCTCAGCTTCTTTGGCTCTTGTTGCTGTGGCTGTGATTCCACTGGAGCCGAGTCCTTTTCCTGTGACGGTGGCACTGTGGTTGTGGTACTGTTGTCGGAATCGGTCATTTTCGAGAAGAACTTCGTCTAGATTTGGAAAGAAGTTTTGTGCGTTTAAAAAGGGGTGTGAAGTGCGTAAATGAAAGGAGCGGCACTGTGGGGTCAATTTGCGGGTGAGTTAAAATGACCGGTTACCTTAGATCTGACGTCCACTGGTTTGTGTTAGAACGGTAAATTCTTTACGTTTCGCTTTTTCTTGGATTTTTTTTTTCCCTCGAGAAAATTACCAATATTAATAATAAGTCTCTAATACTTACATTAAACGAATATTATTTTCATTTTCGAATACGATTATTTTTAAGTTTCTGTTTTTCATTGATACTTTTTATTATAGTGATTTGGTTTTTAGTCAAAATATATAATCATAACCCACATTGGGTGGTTTCACATCTATAAAGCAAATATTTCTAATCAAATTAGCAAATCTCTGGCAGAGACAAACTGGAAAAACAGCTTTAATCAAGTTCCCAACGCATCACTTCTCCAAAAAAGATCAAACAACATCAAAAAACTGGAAAACCAACTATAAGACAACTAATTTAGATAACAATGATTAAATACAAACAGTAATTACAGTTCATGGAGGATATTAATCATAGACTCACGTGCTCTGCACATGGCTTCCAAAGGTTTTGATTTCGGCATAGTATCTCCTGTTCCTGGACACATATCTATTTGCTCCTCACTGGGCCTTTCCCACTCAAAGCATTGAATTAATGAGGCCAAGGTTAAGCTCATTACTCTATTTGCAAGAGGGGCTCCAGGGCAAGCCCTTCTTCCCAGCCCAAATGGAATCAGTTTATATTTATGTGCATCTTTATCTAAACCTTCAAATCTCTCAGGCCTGAATTTTGTTGGGTCATTCCATACTGTTGGATCACTGTGAATAGCCCAAGCATTTACCAGCAACATTGTGCCTCGCGGTACATAGTATCCTCCGATGAAGCAGTCATCGGACGATTCATGTGGCGTCACAAGTGGTGCTACTGGGTACAGTCGTTGTGTCTCGTTTATTATGCTCTGCAGGTATGGCAACTTGGGAAAATCGTCTTCCCCTACCAATCTTTCTTGACCAATAATTTTGTCTAACTCAGCTCTGGCCTTCTTTAAAACCTCAGGATGGTTAAGAAGAAGCGACATTGCCCACTCCACTGCTACTGCTGATCCAGTTCCCCCAAGTAGCATAACCTACATGAAATTTTGACATGGTAATCAGAGTGTTTTGTTCTTTTGATATCAATAGTGTTTTGTTCTTTTGTTTAATCTGAGTATAAATCACTGCTTAATCAGAGGATTGTTAATTTAACTTGTCAGCTAATTAAGATGGCATACCAGTATAAAGCCTTTGATGATTTCATCGGAATAGCTCTCAGGTTCAGATTCTTGTAAAGATAGCATTTTACCGATCATTGTCTTAGGCCGTCCTTGTTCTTGTGAGGAAGAATTATTATTCTTTCGATGCTCATCAATCAAACTTTGGCAAAATTCATCCAAATTTTTCTGCAATCTGAGCAGCCTTTTCTCTATCCTTCGGAAATCAACCCACCGTAGGAATGGCAAAAAATCCCCTAGATTTAATGTTGCACTTGCTCCACCTCCACTCACTTCAGCAGTCTGCTTCAAAATATCGCCAAAGCGTTTAGCCACCTCCAAATTTTCCACCTCTGTTCCAAAGTATCTCTCCCCAGATATCATCCTCGATATAATATTAAAAGACAGGCCCGATAACCTCGATTTCATCTCTACCTTCGTGAAACCTGTTTGCGAATTTGCAAATAAGCTTTTAAGCAAGATTCTAACTTCATCCTGTCTAATGCTGTCGAAATTGTTAAGCCTATTTGTTGAGAAAATTTGAACCGAAGCAATACGACGGAGGTTTCGCCAGTGGTCGCCATAAGGGGAAGTACCTAGAGTGGTGTAATCACACCCTAGATATTTGAAAGCGGAAAGGTGAGGCCTATTGGCAAACAGAAGGTCGTTTTTATGGAAGCAGTCTTCAAGTAAATTTGGGGATGATACAACGACAATATTACGGGAACCAAATGAGAGGGATACGATTGGACCATACTGATCTGTTATGTTCTGTAACGTTCTGTGGAGAGGTTCTTTCATGAGATGAAGATGGCCAATTATGGGAATTGCAGGTGGCCTTGGAGGGATTTTTTTGTGCTGTGTTTGTTTGAGTGAAAAGAGCTTGGAAAGAAGAAAGATTAAGGAAAAGGTAGAAAGGAAATAAAACCATATCTCATTCATTCTGATATCTGTTTTATGATTCTGTGAAGCAGAACGAGAGCAGAAGTTTTGTTTTTATAACAAAGCTAAGTAACTGTAGATCAGTCTTCCTGTCTGAGTTGCTTTTGACAAGCGTGAGGTGTGAGTGTAACTTCAATTTTGGGGAGGCGCACAAATTTTGACTTGAATTTAGCAAACGCACGCACTTGTATGCATGTAAGCATGTGCTTGTGCACAGTAAATGAATAAAATGGGTTTCCATATTTATTGTGAAGGACTGAAGTGGGCTTAGTGTACCATATATAATTATAAAAAATATATATATTATTAACATTAAATTGTCTGGATTAAGTTCAACAAGTGACCTAACCTTCGGTTATCTTTCCTTAATCTCTTTTTCTCTTTAAACTTTAACTAAGATTGATAAGGTTTATAAGGAGATTTGCATTTATAAAATATAATGTATAGCAAAAAAATGAATCCTTAATAGAGATAAACATGATAAATGTAAAATTACTAACATGCCAAAAAACAAAACTGCTTGCCTCAAATGATGCAGACTCTAATATAAAGAAGGAATAATATTTTTTATAATATGTAGATACCTCCTCTATTATATGATAAATCGCATGAAAAGAAAATTGAAATAAATAAAAAAAAAATCAAAGAAAGTAACAAGCTAACCACCTGTTTCATCAAAATAAAATTTCAGAAAGATTGGCTATAAAATACAATGTATCCTAATCTCAAATAATCGAATACATAGATGTTTTAATCATGTGATCTTACAATTAAAATCAAAATTCTGACAATTAGAGATCTTAATTAATCTCGGACACACTTTCAATAAAAATATTAAAACACAGAAAACTGAGAGGTTCTAAACTAAAACTGTGTAATTGGAACTTACAAAACTCATCTTTCCCTTGATAATTCATTCAGTAAAAAAGTTTTGAGGCAAACTAAAACTGTGTAATTGGAACTTACAAAACTCATCTTTCCCTTGATAATTCATTCAGTAAAAAAGTTTTGAGGCAGTATATTCAGACAAATAATGCATAAAAAAATTTAGAAATGTGACATGGAATGCACCAACGTATTAGTCATTACATATATAGATAGATGCTACCACAACAAATAAGGACAGACTTGGCCGGCTACAGAATTATTGGCCCAGCAGCATCAGCACATCACTTCTCCAAAAGATCACAGCAAAAATAATAGCTTTGAAGAATTAAATATGGACCACAATTATTTCAATTTTTTAAACACTATATTATGATTTTATTCCAAATCCTCACACGAACAACCTAACAAAAGGGGAAAACAAACTATAAGACAACTAATTTGGACAACAACGATTATACTACAGCAATTGCAATCAAACAGTAATTATAGGTCACGGAGTATATTAATCGTGGACTCACGTGCTCTGCACATGGCCTTCAAAGGTTGTGATTTAGGCATAGAAAGTCCTTCTCCTTCAGACATATCTATTTGCTCTTCACTTGGTCTTTCCCACTCAAAGCATTGAATTAATGCGGCCAATGCTAAGCCCATTACTCTATTTGCAAGAGGGATTCCAGGACAAACCCTTCTTCCCAGCCCAAATGGAATAAATTTATATTTATGTGCATCTTTATCTAAACCTTCAAATCTCTCAGGCCTAAATTTTGTTGGGTCATTCCACACCGTTGGATCCCTATGAATAGCCCAAGCATTGGCCAGCAACATTGTGCCTCGCGGTACATAGTAGCCTCCAACGAGGCAGTCATTGGACGATTCATGGGGTAGCAGAAGAGGTGCTACTGGATATAGTCGTAGTGTCTCATTTATTATGCTTTGGAGGTATGGTAACTTGGAATAATCGGACTCGTCTACCAATCGGTCTTGACCAATAATTTTGTCTAACTCAGCTCTAGCCTTCTTTAACGCCTCAGGATGGTTAAGAAGAAGCGACATTGCCCACTCCATTGTCAGTGCTGATGTATCCGTGCCCGCAACTATCATCACCTACGCGAAATTTTGACATGTTAATGAAGCGCCTCTCTGAAATTAGATATCTAAATCCTGATATCTTTATTATCTATTAGACTATGTACCACCCCCCCCCCCCCCCCACTATGTACCCACCCCCCCCCCCCCCCAAAAAAAAAAAAAAAAAAAAAAAATAGAGAGAGAAAGAAAGAAAAGTAAAAAGTTCTGTTCTTTTGTTTAATCCTTGTATAAACCACTGCTTAATCAGAGGAATGCTGGTTTAAATAGTCTGCTAATTAAGATAGCATACCAGTATAAAGCCTTTGATGATTTCATCGGAATAGCTCTCAGGTTCAGATTCTTGTAAATATAGCATTTTATCGATGAATGTCTTAGACCGTCCTTGTTCTTGTGAGGAAGAATTATGGCTGTTTCGATGCTCATTAATCAAACCTTGGCAAAATTCGTCCCAATTTTTCTGCAATCTAAGCAGCCTTTTCTCCATCCCTTGGAAATCAATCCACTGTAGGAATGGCAAAAAATCCCCTGGATTTGATGCTCCATTCACTTCAGCAGTCTCTCTTAAAATGTCGTCAAAGCGTTTAGCCACCTCCAAAATTTCCACTTCTGCCCCAAAATATCGCTTCCCTGATATCATCCTCAATATAATGTTAAAAGACAGGCTTGACAGCCTCGATTTCATATCTATCTCCGTGAAACTTGTTTGCGAATTTGCAAATAAATTTTTAAGCAAGATTCTAACTTCGTCCTGTCTAATGCTGTGGAAATAGTTAAGTCTATTTGTTGAGAAAATTTGTAGTGCAGCAATACGACGGAGGTTGCGCCAGTGGTCGCCATAAGAGGAAGTAGCCAAGGTGGTGTAGTTATAACCTGTATATTTGAAAGCGGCAAGGCGAGGCCTATTGGCAAACACAATGTCGTTTTTGTGGAAGCAGTCTTCAAGTAAGCTTGGGGATGATACAACGACAACATTACGGGAACCAAATGAGAGGGATACGATTGGACCATACTTATTTGATATGTCCTGTAACGTTCTGTGGAGAGGTTCTTTCAAGAGATGCAGATGGCCTATTATGGGAATTGCAGGTGGGCTTGGTGGGAATTCTTTGTGCCATGTTTGTTTCAGTGAAAACAGCTTCTCAAGAAGAAAGATTAAGGAAACGATAGAAAGGAAGTAAAACCATATCTCATCCATATTGGCTGTAGGTGGTATGAAGAAGAAGTAGAGCAGTCGTTTTGTTTTTATAGCAAAAGCTAGGGCGATGACCGTGTAAGCCTAGTCTAGATAATACAGCATTCATCCAATTTCAGTTGCTTTCGACAAGACTTCCTACCCACTACGAGATTCTTTCCTTTTAGCCACACATGTTAATATCTAATTACGTCTTTCCTTTTAGCCACACATGTTAATATCTAATTACGTATAAACACTATTAACATAGTATTTGTTCATAATTGGTCCCAGACCGATGTGATTTTATTAGAGAGAAACAATTCAGTCACAAATGGAAAAAAAAATATCCTAAAGATACGTAGAGAACGTAGAGAAGAAGCTTGATTTGATAACTAAAAGAGAAATAACAGTGTTGAAGAAAAATCTTGGATACATTGAATTAGATTCTTTTAGAGAAAATAATATGACAAGCCCTCTTTAGGTCAAGAAGAGAAATAATGAGACTCTATTTTAATGATCAGAGAGTAAGTAATCGCTAATCATATAAGCACGTTAATGCATGTCTTACTGTTTGTTTTTCTTAAACCATTTCTACAAATAGAATTTGACTGGGCCATAAGTTATTCCAGACAAATAGATGGAAAGATAGCCCAATAAGCAACACCATTGAATTAGGCAAACAGACCATTGATATTAGATACCCAGCCTTCCTAAATCCAATTTTCGGAGAATTTGTATAACATGTCAAAGGCTTCATTGCTGTCACCTTAATAATATCTTCTGTCCCTCGACCGAATATATTACCTAAAACTTTTTTTCCTATTGTTTTGGAAGTTTCAGAACAAGAAGCATATACCGGGCCTCTAAAAAAAGGACCATTTTCATCTTAGACCATAAAAATTAATTTTGATTTATCCAGTACCGGCACAGTAAATTAAATATATTCCGAGCTTTGGATCTATATCTTGTCTTGCACTGGCCTTGCACTCCAAAACTTAAACAAGTTTGGTTTGGAAGTTGCATAATATAAACAGTTGTTATCAGTTGCTTAAAAGAGATTCTTCTAATAGAAGATAATGTCTTCAGACTTTCAGGTGGTTAATTGTGAATCAGATTGAAGTTTAAACTCTCATTGAACAGGAGATGAACTGGCGTAATAAAGTGTCCTATTTCAGAGAATGAAATATGTTCTAATTAGATTGGTTATTATCGTAAAAATATTTGCAGTTTCTTTTCTTCATGATGCTTGTGAAGATTTTCTACTTTGGAAGTTTATGTTTTGCTACCTTTGGTGTTTGATGGGTCCTTATGGTATTGCTTTTGCCAAGTGAAGTACATTAAAGGAGGAACATCGGAGAAGTTACATGCATTCACACATAAACAAGTTCCTACGTTCACATTTACTTTTTTTGAAAAGAGGGCGTTCGCTCGTCAAGAACGGTGGATTATTTGGCGTTAATTTTCAGATGAAGAATTTAGCACCTATTTACCTAGTCATGGCAAAGACTTTGTGTGCTTCATATCCACTCCCTGAATTTCATAGAGTGGACAGTAGGTCGGTTCATTGCTTGGCGAGGGCCCTACACATTGCTTTCCAATGGGGATAACTTTGGCATGGTAAGGCCCTGTGCCTTCTTCCACTGTCTACATCTCTTCTTTAGCCAAAACTTTTCCCGACTCAAAGGGCTGAATCAATGGCCGCTTAATGTTATGGCTTACCACTCGCTTGGCCAGACCAGCCCCTGGACAAGCTCTCCTTTCCTGCACAAAATGGAAAGGACAAACCTTATACCCTTCACCTTTCCACCATGAATCTTCTCTTGGTAGAAACTTGTGGTCGACCCAGGCTTTGGTGGGTTTCTGTTTCATGCTCCATGTATTGACCCAGTTAGTAACTTGTGCCTCGAGGCACGAAAAATCTGAAACGGATTGCAATTTGCAGTGATTCGTTTTTGTTGGTAATACGAAGCGGTTGCAGGTGGATCAGAGTCGAAGTGTCTCTTTTGAATTATCATTTGCAGGTAACATAACTTTGGTATATCAGTTTCATCCAAGAGGCGCTCCATTCCGACCAACATCTTCTATTCAGCAAAAGCCTTTGCTACTTCTGGATGGTTCAAAGAACGTGAAGATTGGCCCAATCCAATGTAGCTGCTGATGTTTGTGATTATCCTGCAGTCGAGTGGTTGACTGTGCATAAAATTTGGAACAGTTAAATAAAAGAACCACTGAAAATAACAGCCATAAACATATCCAACAGAAATACGTTGTAAAACCTTAGTAACAAAAAGCACTCAAATCCAGGCTTCTGCAACTGTAGTGAGGTACTTTCAATCTTATATCCAAATATCAATTAGTTTTAAATTGGTCAGTATTTTCAAGTAAAATAAGAAGAAACGTCTTACCAAAATAAAACACCTTTGATGGTTTGATCTGTGTAGAGATTCTGGTTCTGTTTCTTAAGGATAACATAACATCTCTATTAAAGTTGTGTGTTTTTGGTTAACTTGCAGCAGGACAGATTCAGCTGGTGGAAATGAGTCACCCCTTGTTCATGTGTCATCAATTGAGCTGCTGCTAAGAAGTGTCCATCTCTTCATTTAATTTCTGCATCCTTTCTCCACCCCTTGGTAATGTCCATCTTCTTCATTAATTTCTGCATCCTTTTCTCCACCCCTTGGTAATCCACCCATTGCAGCACAGGGAAGTAATCATTTAGATTTGAACTTCCACGAAGTGCCTCCATTTCTTTTATGATATCCTGCAAGAATTCTCCTCCTTGATCCATAACATTTTTGCCATAGTAACGTTTTCCAGCGATCATCCTCATGATGTTATTAAATGTAAGCTCCAAGAACTTTGAAGTTAACGCCACCTTGGCTGGTTCTTTTCTCGAGTCCTGAAATAGTTGTTTGAGCAATAACCGGACCTCCTCTGTTCGAATGCCAGAGAACATTGTTGCACGGCTAGTAGAGAAGAGCTCTATGGTTGTGAGGCGCCTGAGATTGCGCCAGTGATCACCATAGGAGGAGAAACCCATAGTCGTAGAGTCGTAATTAAGATACTTCCCAGCGAGTGAGCGAGGGCGGTTTGCAAAAATGATATCATTTCTGGTAAAGCACTCTTCAGCTGCAGATGGCGAGGAGATCAATAGGACTTTACGTGTTCCATATCGGAGAAATAAGATGTCACCGTACTTCTCAGAAAGTTGGTGTAGAGTCCGGTGAATTGGTTGTTTTAGCATGTGGAGATGACCTATTACAGGACGCGCTGGTGGACTAGGTGGGAATTTCTTGGAGCGTTTAAGCTTTTGGAATGAAAATTTTGCTGCCAGTACAAAGAGGAGCACTGGGACTAGGACTAGGACTAGAGCTGCGGTGTTCGACCAGTAGGTTACCTCCATTTTTCTGTAGAGTATCTTCCTTGAGAAGAAAAGCAAAGCAAAACAGAGAATTAAATAAGAACATCTCAGTTCAGTAAAATGGCCTTGGACTCAGGGTAATTTCGGATATTGATTGACGTGGCCTTATCGTCAATCAGTGGTGCATATTGAACCACAAAACTTGCATGATGTCACTATTTTCTGAACTGTATTTTGTATTTACTTAATTCCAACATGCATACTTAAATTGTTAAAAATACAGCTCACCATCCGTGTGGAACATATTAGCTTAGATCATTGGAATCAAAAAAAATTATCTCAATATCTTTTAAAATTTGTTATTTGTTATATACTTACAAATCCTATTCTGCTTTGCTCCATTCACGGTCTCACTTAAAGAAGAAATAGCGTGCTCAATAATTCATTCCGACAACTGTTGATTATTATTTTTTTTTTTTAATTGCTTCATTTTAGTGAAACTTACCCAAACAATATGAACTATTGGTTTCCTGAATTTCAATGTAAAATGGATTTGGACTTGGGTCTTTGTTTGGCCATGTGAGATGTTGTAAGATTTAACTTGATGGTTATTGTAACTATATTGTATAATCTTTTGAAGTACAAATTCTAAATAAAAAGTGAAAATAATTCGTAATGAAGTATTCAAAATAGATTTAACCTGGTGTTTTTACTATATATATATGATAATAACCTATGTAAATATATAATTTGCTAAGCAAATTACCGTTTTCCTTGTACGCAATAGAAAATTTCTTCATCATACAATTTACAGAGCCGAGAGAAGACCGACTCTGGCTTGGCGAGGTTTACACATAGCCTCCAAGGGCTCAGCTTTGGGCATTGTCAGTCCATTTCCTTGTGCCATATTGATCTCCTCGTTGTTAATCCTACCCCATTCAAAAGCCTGAATCAGAGCACCTAATGCTAATACCATCACTTTCCTCGCTAGAACAGCTCCAGGACAAGCCCGCCTTCCAATACCAAATGGAATTAACTTATAACCGTCACTCTCTTCACTTTCAAATCTCTCTGGCAAAAATTTGGTTGGCTCTACCCACAGCTTGGGGTCTCTGTGAATAGTCCACAAATTGACAAGTAACACTGTGCCTTTCGGCACATCAAAACCACAGATGCTACAGTCATCCGACGATTCATGTGGTAGTAGAAGAGGAAATGTTGGATATAGCCGAAATGTTTCATTGATTACATTTTGCAGGTAAGTTAGCTTCGATAAGTCTGTTTCATCCAATAGACGGTTGAATCCAACATAAGTGTCTATCTCAGTCACAACCTTTTTCATAGTTTCTGGATGGTTGAGGAGAAGTGACATTGTCCATTCCATTGTAGTTGCTGAACTTTCACTTCCAGCCACCAGCAGAACCTACACTCGTAGATAGAAAAACTGTATGAAACTCCAAGAAATACTAAAAACCGAAGGTTTTAATAATTGGAAACTGTAAATATGTAGCTTCACGAAGCAAAGGACCTTCTACTCAGGAATCAGGATAACTACACATTCCTGCAATTGAAATTCTCACTATAAGAATCTCTCTCACCACAAACATTTCCTTTTTTTTGCTTATCATTTTAGTTGACAAGAATAGGGAAAAAAAAACGTCTTTGCAAGATTTAACAGATTTGGACTCTCAAGTCACAACCTTACAATTCTAGTGATAACTCTAATAACCATTGACAAGCATGAAAAAGAAAAGAAAACGGATCCTTTTCGCATTTATTTGTATGAATTAGAGGCTGAAACACCAAAATTGCTTATTTTTAATGATATTATATGTGTGATTATATACAAACAAAAAATGATGACATTATAGAACTGAGACTTACCAGAACAACAGCTTTGATGTTCACATCGGTATAGAATTCTGGTTCTATTTCCTGTAAAGATAACAAAACATCAATCAGAGTCATCGTTCTTTCATTATTACATGCAGATTCAGTACTCCTAATTTTCCTTTGCTCATCAACAAGACACTGTAAGAAGGTGTCCATTTTCTTCATCACTCCTTTCATTTTTTTCTCCACGCCTTGAAAATCAATCAACTGTAGCACTGGCAAAAGATCATTCAAATTCATAATTCCATGAATCTCCGCAAATTCTCTTATAATATCACGAAATTCACTTGCCCGTTTGTCTATTACATCCTTTCCATAATAACGTTTTCCTGCAGCCATTCTCATCATCACATTAAAAGAGAGATCCACAAATTTCGAAGAAAGGTTCGCTTTCACGGCCTCTTTTTTACCAATTGAGTGCTGAAATAATTCCTTTAGCAACAACTGAACTTCCTCTTGACGAATGTTCGCAAACATGGCAAGTCTAGATGTAGAGAAAACCTCTAAAGCTAAAAGGCGCCTAATTTTGCGCCACCGTGCACCATAGGGGGTCGTTCCTACTGTTCTGTAATTGTAATTGAGGTGTTTTCCGGCAAGCCAGCGTGGGCGATTAGCAAAGATGACGTCATTTTTTGTAAAGCACTCTTCAACTGCAGCTGGTGAGGAGACCAGTAGAACTTTACAAATCCCAAATCGGAGAAGTAAGACGTCACCATATTTTGCTGAAAGGTCGTGAAGAGCTCGATGAACTGGTTCTTTCAGCAAGTGGAGATGGCCGATGATCGGAAGAGAAGGAGGAGTAGGAGGGTAGTTTTTGTTGTTTTCATATTTTGAGAAAATAAATTTCGAGAGAAAAATTAGAGTTAAGAGGAGTCCCAAGGTCAACCAGTTAGCTACTTCCATCATTCTGAAGAAACAGAGATTTGGATTAGGCTTGAGAGCAGAACTGCCTGTAGAGCATATTGGATCACCAAAAAATCCAGTAATTATAAAATAAAAGGTTCTAAATGAATTTCCAAATTTTTTTTCCTTTTTTTTTTGTTTGGAACTGACGTTCGTAATACTTGTCTGAAACTGTTCAGCCGGCAGGTTGGAATAAAGGTTCGCATACGATAAAAATCGTTGACTTTTTGGAATTTAGATAATAGTACTATGGAAGTAGCTTATTTAGAACAATGAATTGGAATAAGTTTTATGAAATTGATTTAGAATTATTTTTTATATTTGTAATGAAAAAAAATATAAATTTTAATTTTACGAATTCAATTACATCGAATTAGATATGATTATACTAAATTCTATAAAAATAAGTGAAATTTGTAAATGAATTTCATAAAATAAAACAATCAAATTTTTTATGACGACAAAACGATCATTTTCTATCTATAAAGTCAAATTTTAAATTTTTTGATTATTTATTCTATTAAACTTGACTAAAGTCATTTAAAAATTTTATTTTTTTAGAAATTTTTTTATTATTGTGTTTTATTTTAATATTTTCATCTTTTATTTAATATTTTTTAGCATGTTTTATTATCAGAGATTCAAGTTAAATATCTATTTATCACTTAATTAAATGCAATAATTTTATTAATATTATTTTTTTATTTTATATATTTATTTTAATAATATTTAATATTTTTTAGATGTTTTATACAGAGATTCCAAACGTTAAATATCTATTTATCACTTAATTAATGCAAGTAATTTATTAATATATTTTATTTATATATTATTTTAAGTAAAAATATTAAAAAAATATATAGCATAACATAAATATAATGGGTTATTTATTATTTATTAATGAATAAATATAATTGGTATTTATTATTTATTTTTATGAAATTACAATTTCAAGATATTTTAGGAAACAAAAGCAAATGAATTTTCAATTATAAATTTTTTCCTTATATGATTACGTTAAATTCAATTGAATTACATTTTTTAAACTAATCATATCAAATATGAAAATTTATTTAAATATAAATTCTACTAGAATTCATTTACAAATAAAATCCATATTTGAATTTATTTATACCAAATCGATAACAAACGGAGTATAAGTTTAGCGTCGCTTCTTCCTTGGGTGGGATTTTGATTATTCAACAAAACAACAATGTTCATTCCCTTCCTATGTAATCATTATAGATTTAGCCATTAAGGCATCTAAGAAAAAAGAAAACATCGGAGAAGATGATATCTTATTCTGGAATATCACAAATGAGAAAGAGAAGTAGCTAGAGCTTCTCAAGGGTGAAATGTGATAGTCAAAGGCCTGTTCTCTGCTTTTTCCCCAGGCTTTTGCTTGTCAAATCACTGAATTAGGGTCCCTAATGGCCAAGCCTCTCCCAGGGCATTGCCTCCTGAAAAAAACCAAATTGTATGAATTTAAAACCTCCCTGTCCTGCTTCACTCCCTGGAACCTCCCTGACTTGAACGCATCAGGGTCTTCCCAGAATTCGGGGTCCCTGTGCAATGCCCACGCATTTACCAACAACATTGTGCCACTTGGTATTTTATAGCCTCCTATAATGCATTCCTCTAATGACTCCTATGGGGAAATTATCCCTATAGAACGTAATCTGATTGTTTCATTAGTTATACTATGAAGATATGGAAGCTTTGAGAGATCAGAATCATCCAGTAGCCGAGATTGACCAATATTGACGTCAATCTCCTCCCTTGCCTTGTGCAAAACCTCAGGATGTCTGTCAAATGTAAAACTGCTGATTCCATTGTCCATTTCGATGTTTCTTTTTCTGATACCAGCATTATCTGAACAACATGTGATTAAATTGTCAAAAACAGGTTATATTCGTGTGGTTTAGCAATTGAGCAATACTGCTCTAATATAGAAAAACCTAACTTCACAAGCCAGACACAGAACACAATCCATTACCAGTATAATTCCTCTAATGACATCCTCAGTGTAGATATATCAGGTTCTGATTCTTGCAATGATAACATTTCATCTATTATAAACCATCTTCTCTCTCCACCGGAAATAAGCATTCCGGCACAAATTGATCAAACAAGTGACCTAACCTTCGGTTGTCTTTCCTTAATCTCTTTTTCTCTTTAAACTTTAACTAAGATTGGTAAGATGTATAAGGAGACTTGCATTTGTAAAATATAATGTATAGCAAACAATGAAAATTGATTTATAAATGGAATTTATTCACAATATATTTTTAATTTGATCTAAGAAAAAAAGAATCCTTAATACAGATAAACATGACAAATGTAAAATTACTAACATGCCAAAAAACAAAACTGCTTGCCTCAAATGATGCTGACTCTAATATAAAGAAGGAATAATATTTTTTATAATATGTAGATACCTCCTCTATTATATGATAAATCGCATGAAAAGAAAATTGAAATAAATAAATAAATAATCAAAGAAAGTAACGAGCTAACCACCTGTTTCATAAAATAAAAAATAAAATTTCAGAAAGATTGGCTATAAAATACAATGTTATCCTAATCTCAAATAATCGAATACATAGATGTTTTAATCATGTGATCTTATAATTAAAATCAAAATTCTGACAATTAGATATCTTAATTAATCTCAGACCCTCTTTCAATAAAAATATTAAAACACAGGAAACTGAGAGGTTCTAAACTAAAACTGTGTAATTGGAACTTACAAAACTCATCTTTCCCTTGATAATTCATTCAGTAAAAAAGTTTTGAGGCAGTATATTCAGACAAATAATGCATAAAAAAATTTAGAAATGTGACATGGAATGCACCAACGTATTAGTCATTACATATATAGATAGATGCTACCACAACAAATAAGGACAGACTTGGCCGGCTACAGAATTATTGGCCCAGCAGCATCAGCACATCACTTCTCCAAAAGATCACAGCAAAAATAATAGCTTTGAAGAATTAAATATGGACCACAATTATTTCAATTTTTTAAACACTATATTATGATTTTATTCCAAATCCTCACACGAACAACCTAACAAAAGGGGAAAACAAACTATAAGACAACTAATTTGGACAACAACGATTATACTACAGCAATTGCAATCAAACAGTAATTATAGGTCACGGAGTATATTAATCGTGGACTCACGTGCTCTGCACATGGCCTTCAAAGGTTGTGATTTAGGCATAGAAAGTCCTTCTCCTTCAGACATATCTATTTGCTCTTCACTTGGTCTTTCCCACTCAAAGCATTGAATTAATGCGGCCAATGCTAAGCCCATTACTCTATTTGCAAGAGGGATTCCAGGACAAACCCTTCTTCCCAGCCCAAATGGAATAAATTTATATTTATGTGCATCTTTATCTAAACCTTCAAATCTCTCAGGCCTAAATTTTGTTGGGTCATTCCACACCGTTGGATCCCTATGAATAGCCCAAGCATTGGCCAGCAACATTGTGCCTCGCGGTACATAGTAGCCTCCAACGAGGCAGTCATTGGACGATTCATGGGGTAGCAGAAGAGGTGCTACTGGATATAGTCGTAGTGTCTCATTTATTATGCTTTGGAGGTATGGTAACTTGGAATAATCGGACTCGTCTACCAATCGGTCTTGACCAATAATTTTGTCTAACTCAGCTCTAGCCTTCTTTAACGCCTCAGGATGGTTAAGAAGAAGCGACATTGCCCACTCCATTGTCAGTGCTGATGTATCCGTGCCCGCAACTATCATCACCTACGCGAAATTTTGACATGTTAATGAAGCGCCTCTCTGAAATTAGATATCTAAATCCTGATATCTTTATTATCTATTAGACTATGTACCACCCCCCCCCCCCCCCCATCTGATATCTTTATTATCTATTAGAACTATGTACCACCCCCCCCCCCAAAAAAAAAAAAAAAAATAGAGAGAGAAAGAAAGAAAAGTAAAAAGTTCTGTTCTTTTGTTTAATCCTTGTATAAACCACTGCTTAATCAGAGGAATGCTGGTTTAAATAGTCTGCTAATTAAGATAGCATACCAGTATAAAGCCTTTGATGATTTCATCGGAATAGCTCTCAGGTTCAGATTCTTGTAAATATAGCATTTTATCGATGAATGTCTTAGACCGTCCTTGTTCTTGTGAGGAAGAATTATGGCTGTTTCGATGCTCATTAATCAAACCTTGGCAAAATTCGTCCCAATTTTTCTGCAATCTAAGCAGCCTTTTCTCCATCCCTTGGAAATCAATCCACTGTAGGAATGGCAAAAAATCCCCTGGATTTGATGCTCCATTCACTTCAGCAGTCTCTCTTAAAATGTCGTCAAAGCGTTTAGCCACCTCCAAAATTTCCACTTCTGCCCCAAAATATCGCTTCCCTGATATCATCCTCAATATAATGTTAAAAGACAGGCTTGACAGCCTCGATTTCATATCTATCTCCGTGAAACTTGTTTGCGAATTTGCAAATAAATTTTTAAGCAAGATTCTAACTTCGTCCTGTCTAATGCTGTGGAAATAGTTAAGTCTATTTGTTGAGAAAATTTGTAGTGCAGCAATACGACGGAGGTTGCGCCAGTGGTCGCCATAAGAGGAAGTAGCCAAGGTGGTGTAGTTATAACCTGTATATTTGAAAGCGGCAAGGCGAGGCCTATTGGCAAACACAATGTCGTTTTTGTGGAAGCAGTCTTCAAGTAAGCTTGGGGATGATACAACGACAACATTACGGGAACCAAATGAGAGGGATACGATTGGACCATACTTATTTGATATGTCCTGTAACGTTCTGTGGAGAGGTTCTTTCAAGAGATGCAGATGGCCTATTATGGGAATTGCAGGTGGGCTTGGTGGGAATTCTTTGTGCCATGTTTGTTTCAGTGAAAACAGCTTCTCAAGAAGAAAGATTAAGGAAACGATAGAAAGGAAGTAAAACCATATCTCATCCATATTGGCTGTAGGTGGTATGAAGAAGAAGTAGAGCAGTCGTTTTGTTTTTATAGCAAAAGCTAGGGCGATGACCGTGTAAGCCTAGTCTAGATAATACAGCATTCATCCAATTTCAGTTGCTTTCGACAAGACTTCCTACCCACTACGAGATTCTTTCCTTTTAGCCACACATGTTAATATCTAATTACGCTACGAGATTCTTTCCTTTTAGCCACACATGTTAATATCTAATTACGCATAAACACTATTAACATAGTATTTGTTCATAACTGGTTCCAGACTGATGTGATTTTATTAGAGAGAAACAATTCAGTCACAAATGGAAAAAAAATATCCTAAAGATACGTAGAGAAGAAGCTTGATTTGATAACTAAAAGAGAAATAACAGTGTTGAAGAAAAATCTTGGATACATTGAATTAGATTCTTTTAGAGAAAATAATATGACAAGCCCTCTTTAGGTCAAGAAGAGAAATAATGAGACTCTATTTTAATGATCAGAGAGTAAGTAATCGCTAATCATATAAGCACGTTAATGCATGTCTTACTGTTTGTTTTTCTTAAACCATTTCTACAAATAGAATTTGACTGGGCCATAAGTTATTCCAGACAAATAGATGGAAAGATAGCCCAATAAGCAACACCATTGAATTAAGCAACACCATTGAATTAAGAATACCCAGCCTTCCTAAATCCATCGAGAATTTGATGCCTCTTTTGATGTCAAAGCCTGTTCATTGCTGTCACCGTTAATAAATAATCTTTGTTCGTCGACCGAATATAATCCTAAACTTTTTTTTCCCTATGTTTTTTGGAAGTTTCAGAAAACAAGCAGCATATACGGCCTCTAAAAAGGACCATTTCATCTTTTAGAACCATAAAAATAAAAGTGTTGATTTATCTAGTCCGGCAAGTAAATAATATATTCCGAGCTTTGGGATTATATTTGTCTTGGCACTGGCCTGTGGGGGCTTCCGTACGAGTCACCCCTCACGGATTTCTCCCTTTGGCAGGCTTAGATCCCCACCCAAAAGCGCGCTAACCAAGTGAGAAACCACCCCTCTTATGTACATCACTTACTCCTCGCACTTAACCGATGTGGAATTCGCCTAAGTACACTGTAGGCTTTGATCCCTCACAGTAACCCCCGTAGGGACTCAGCGTCCGCGCTGAGGTTTGCCCCACCATCGGCCAGAGGAATGAGGCTTCGGCTCTGATATCAAATGTCATGGCCCACACCTGGTTAGTATTGTCCGCTTTGGGGGCTTTCGTACGAGTCACCCCTCACGGATTTGTCCCCTTGGAAGCCCCCAAAGCGGACAATACTAACCAGGTGTGGGCCATGACATTTGGTATCAGAGCTGATGCCTCGTTCCTCTGGCTGGTGGTGGGGCAAACCTCAGCACGGACGCTGAGTCCCTACGGGGGGTGACTGTGAGGGATCTAAACCTACAGTGCACCTAGGCGAATCCCACATCGGTTAAATGCGAGGAGTAAGTGATGTACATAAGAGGGGTGGTTTCTCACTTGGTTAGCGCGCTTTTGGGTGGGGATCTAAGCCTGCCCAAGGGACAAATCCGTGAGGGCCAAATTTGTAACTCCGCTTTCCCGGTCCCAACCCGTTAACTCAAATGAACGAGCTGAGACGCTACAATCTGGTTGAACCTAATGTCCTTTCATGCTAATATCATGTTGTATGCTGATAGATGTCCAAGCTAATTTGGCTTTTTACATTAGGAAATATAGATATGTACTTAATATTTTTACAAGATTACCTAATTTTCAAAATGAAATGGGCCCAACTGTGGTGCCCATGTACATTGCCATAGGATATACAGAATCAAAATATCAAAATGAGTAGCTACCCTGAAGACTGGGTCTTCCAAAGATGAACTCCAGCAGTTGTAAGCTGACTCTCTACTGTCCAGTCTCGAAACCTACGAGTTAAATAAATAACTCGCTGAGCAAATAAAGCTTAGTGGATATCTCAACTTATTAAGAAACAAGTAAGCACATACATATGTAGCAATAAACACGTAAACACATATGGATAACTAAGCATGTAAGCACACATATCATGATACTTCCATTGACGTACTTGCTGCTCATTATACTGTATGAATATGCAATTTGTAATCAATGTAACTGTATAACTCCAAAAGGTTATAGTGAAACCAAAGTGATAAGAAGAACTGTATGAAATAGGATGAATATTGTATGAAACTGGTTGAAATTTCAGAGAGTTGAGACATCTTTTTGGTTGAAAGTTCAGAGAATTCTCAATTGCTTAGGGTTTGTGATAAGTGAAATTGAATCGATTAAGAATGTCATGACATAGTCTTATCTACGTGGTTTCTGGCTAACCTTAATGGAGCATATTATGTGTATTGTGATAATACAAGAATTATTTAGAAAATATCTAATGAGGAATAACGCATACCAGTGATAACGTATAAAGTAACTTGCATGGAAATACTCTAGCTATTGCACCCGCGATGCAATTCTTACTAATATTTATGTAACTAAATTTTACCATTCAGATTAGGGAAATTCTTAGTTTGAATTTAAGTTCACTTAGAAGGTAAAATGCAGTAATAATTTTAGGGTGAATGAATCTACATATGCATTCCAACATCATTTTTCTAATGTGTTCTTGAAATCTGCCAGGCAGCCTGTACATGTTTCACAAATCCTAGCATAACTCTTTCTCAAATCCTAGCATAACTCTTTCTGTATACGTCCAATTTAGGTTATATTAAATTCTATGGTTAGCTAACATCTTAATGTACAAAGTTTTCTTCTATCACATCTCTTAATTACGTTGGCAAGGTAGTCACATATTGACCTCAAGTAGCAACTGCCAGTCTGCCCTGCTGTTGGTTTCTAGCCTGCCCAGTTTATACTATTTTGGTCATATCTCTCAATTTATAACTCCACTTTAGGTGATTTATGGTTATCTAACACATTAGGGTACAAATATGTCTTAATTTGTCTTCTACCACATCTCTTAATTACGTTGGTAAGGTAGTCAAACATTGAGCTCAAGTAGCAACTATCAGTTTGCCCTGCTGTTGGGTTCCAGCCTGCACAAGTTATACTATTTTGGTCACAGATCTCAATATATAACTCCAATTTAGGTGATTCTACCTTCTATGGTTAGCTAACACATTAGGCTACAAATTTGTCTTCTACCACATCTCTTAATTACGTTGGTAAGGTAGGCAAATATTTACCAAAATGAGCAACTTCCAGTCCGTCCAGACTGTTTGATTTCCAGCCTGTGCCACAGTCTGTACTATTTTTGGTCCATATCCTCTCAATTTAATAACTCGCAAATTTAAGGTGATTCAAACTCTGGAACAGATAAACATAGAGAAACAAATAACTCCTTCTATTAACACTTTCCTAAATTTCATCGTTAAAACAGAGTCAAAATCAGGGTGAAGTTACTGGTTCAATGGTCCAACAAACTGGGTTTCAGCATGAAATCAATATCTACTTCATTCATTCAATTCATCCATGGGCTTTTATCACCAATTTACAGACCTCTAATTCAACATTCAGCAATATATGTTTTCATTATCAAACACAACTACACAAGTTTTTCCAATGCAAGAAAAATGTGAAAAAACTAAAAGAGATATCAAACCTTCAACCAAAAGAGCCTTTAAATCCCTCTTTCTAGCTTCCTTTTCTTCCACTTTGAGTTCCCTCCTCCTATACATAATAACTCTTAGAAATCCAAATCTAAAATTATCACAAAAAATTTAAGAAAGGCTACTTACTTGGATAGAGTTCTAGGTTGAATTTAGTGTTTAAATCACATGAAAATGGATGGAGAAAGGAAGGAGATGAAGAGAAGATGAAGGAGATAAAGAGGAAGATGAAGATGAAGAAGACGTTGAAGATGAAGATGAAGAAAGGGAAATGAAATGAAAGTCTCGTGTACTCTCCAACCATCTCTTTAATTGTATGTTAAAATTACCAGATAGTACCTATATTTTCCCTATGTTACATTTTAATACCTAAACTCTATATTTTAGTGCAAGTAAGTCCTACTCCTTATACTTTGATCTTTTTGTTTCATTCAAGTAATTTGATCTTTTTTGTTTCATTCACAGTAAGTCCACTTTTCTTTTTACTTATATTAGTTACAATCCCATTCTACTCCACTCTGGATTTAAATGGCTCGAACTGGGTTTCTTGTTCGGCCAATCTCGACTCGACTTATGCAACGATTCGATTCACCAGTAGGTATGTTACAGTTATTATGTATAGGAAGAGGGGAACTCAAAGTTGGAAGAAAGGAAGCTAAAGAAGAGCGTTTAAAGCTCTTTTGGTGAGGTTTTGAATTATCTCTTTTAGTTTTTCACATTTTCTTTTGCCAATGAAAACTTGTGTAGTGTGTTGAATAATGAAAACATATATTGCTGATTTGAATTAGAGGTCTGTAATGGTGATAAAAGCATGGGATGAATTGGAATGAAATGAAGTAGAATATTGGATTTCCATGCTGAACCAGTTTGTTGGACCATTGACCAGTAACTTCACCCTGATTTTGACTCTGTTTAAACGATGAAAATTAGGAAGTGGTATAGAGAGTTATTTGTTTCCTCTATGTTTTTATCTGTCCATGTAGTTTTTTGAAATCACCTAATTTGGAGTTATAAATTGAGAGATATGACCAAATAGTAACAGACAGGCTGGAAATCAAACAGTCTGGACGGACTGGAAGTTGCTCATTTTGGTAAATATTTGCCTACCTTACCAACGTAATTAAGAGATGTGGTAGAAGACAAATTTGTAGCCTAATGTGTTAGCTAACCATAGAAGGTAGAATCACCTAAATTGGAGTTATATATTGAGATCTGTGACCAAAATAGTATAACTTGTGCAGGCTGGAACCCAACAGCAGGGCAAACTGATAGTTGCTACTTGAGCTCAATGTTTGACTACCTTACCAACGTAATTAAGAGATGTGGTAGAAGACAAATTTGTAGCCTAATGTGTTAGCTAAGTTAGCTAACTAGAATGTAGAATCACCTAAATTGGAGTTTAATAAAATTGGGATATGAAAAATAGTATAAAGCTGGAGGCAGGCTGGAAAAACGCAGGGCGCTGGCAGTTGTAAGTTAAACTTTCTTTGACAGAGATGAACTGCGGTAAGTGTTCATATTTAGAAGAATTGAAATTTTGTTTGATTGATGGTAATTATCGTTAAAAGTTTGCAGTTCTTTTCTGATATTGAGCTGTGAGATTTTTAATTTGAAGGTTTTGTTTTTCTCTTTGGTGTTTGAGGGTCCTTATGGTTATTGCTTTTGCCAGTTGAAGTATTAAAGGAGGGACATGGAAGAAGTTACATTGCATTCACAATAAACGTTTCCGTCGATCAATTCTCTTACTTTTTTTGAAAAGGAGGGGTCGCTCGCTCAAGGAGGTTAGATTATTTTGGCTGGTTAATTTTCAGTTATGAAGAATTTAGCACCTATTACCTAGTCAATGGCAAGTACTTTGTGTGCTTCTATCACTCCGCGTGAATTCTAGACGTGGACAGTTTAGGTCGGTCATTGAGCTTGGCGAGGCCTACACAATTGTTCCAATGGGATACTTTTGGCATGGTTTAAGGCCCTGTGCCTTTCTTTCCATGTTCATTTTCTTTGCCAAACTTTTTCCCACTCAAAAGGACTGAATTCAGGCCGCTATTGTTATGACTTCACTCGCATATAGGCCAGACCAGTCCTGGACACCGATTCTCCTTCTGACCAAATGGAAGGGAACTTATACTTCACCATTCTCCACATTGAAGATCTCTCTGGGTAAGAAACTTTGTTTGGTTCGAACCCAGAGCTTGGGGTTTTTCTGTTCATTGCTCCATGTATGCCAGTTAACATTTGTGCCTTGGGGCACGTGAAAATCCTGAAACGGTGAATCTGAGATAGATTCGTGTGGTAAGAAGCGGTGCAGGTGGATTTTAGGTCGAAGAGTCTCTTGAATTTTCATTTGTAGTAACATACTTTGGTATTCAGTTTATCAAGAGAGCGTACTCATTCGCAACAGGCTAAAATAATATTATTCAGCAAAGCCTTTGATTACTTTCTGAGAATGGTTCAAAAGGAAGGTTGAGATGCCAATCAATGTAGCTGCTGATGTTTGTAGATCCTGCAGTCAGGTGTTGCTGTGCATAAATATTTGGAACAGTTAAATAAAGCCACTTGAAAAATAACAGCATAAGCATATCAACAGAAATAGCGTGTAAAAATATTAGTAACAAAGCTCATATCACAGCTTCTGCAATTTGTTAGTGAGGAAATTTATCTTATATTATTCCAATCATTAGGTTAAGTCAGCTATTTTACAAGTTTAATTAGAAAATTCCCAATCAATTAGTTTAAAGTCAGTATTTCAAGTAATAGAAACAGTCTTACCAAAATAACACCTTTGATGGTTTGATCTGTGTAGAATTCTGGTTCTGTTTCTTTCAAAGATAACATAACATCTATTAAAGTTGTGTGCTTCTTTTGGTTACTTGCAGCAGACAGATTCACTGGTGGAGATGAGTCGCCCCTTGTTTTCATGTGCTCCTCAATGAGCTGCTGTAAGAAGCTGTCCATCTTCTTCATTAATTTCTGCATCCTTTTCTCCACCCCTTGGTAATCCACCCATTGCAGCACAGGGAAGTAATCATTTAGATTTGAACTTCCACGAAGTGCCTCCATTTCTTTTATGATATCCTGCAAGAATTCTCCTCCTTGATCCATAACATTTTTGCCATAGTAACGTTTTCCAGCGATCATCCTCATGATGTTATTAAATGTAAGCTCCAAGAACTTTGAAGTCAACGCCACCTTGGCTGGTTCTTTTCTCGAGTCCTGAAATAGTTGTTTGAGCAATAACCGAACCTCCTCTGTTCGAATGCCAGAGAACACTCCTAGCACTCCCGTGCCAAACTCTGGATGTGTCCCGGACGCAAGACACGCCCAAGACCAAGAAGCCCAGGCACGCCTGTGCCACAGATAGCCCGACCGTGGTAGCCTCTGGAAGTCATAGCACGCTCGTACCATGACAAGCACGCTCGTGCCAACGGGTCCAATTACGATTCGAATTCCGGCACGCCCATGTCATGCCAAACACACCCGTGTTAGCCTCCAAGAGTCCAAGAACGCCCGTGCCGCCGCCCTTACTAGGGTTTTGCTTAATTACGAATTTTGTGTATTTTTAGGATTTTATAACTTTTACCCTGAACCTATAAATAGGTTATTTTTTATATTGTGATTCATTCATTATCTTTTGAACATTATTCATATAAATAAACTTCTTTGAAAGTTTAAGTTCTTATTTTATTTGTCGGATCAAACGTTATTGATCAAAACTTCTGATGGAGTATAATCGTCTTTCCCATTCACATAACCGTTCTGCGTCATCCTCCATCTCTTCAATGTCGAAGGGAGTTCATGTATTTTACTTGGAAAGGTTAAGAACTTCACAGATGACAGAAAGACTTCTAGAAAGACTTCTAGAAACTGTTATAATAGCAAAATTACAAGGATTGTGATACTTGGTAAGCATCATCTTTGAGTATAATAGGAAAGTAGATTCTCCAAACCAAATAGTATAACATATTAATATCATAATATCAAAATATAAAAAGTTGGGAGCGGGTCTAAAGTTGGGAGAGAAGTTCAACCAATTCTTGACGTGGACTACACAGAGCAACCAAAGGCTTAGTCTTGGAAAGAGAAATTCCAAAAGTCTGGCTCATATCTACTTCCTCCAGCCCGGGATTTTCCCATTCAAAGCACTGAATAAGAGCACCCAATGCCACTGAAACCATGCGTATACCCATTCCCGCACCTGGACAAGCTCTCCTCCCCATACCAAATGGAATGAACCTGAAGCCTTGTTGTGAATGTTCCCCTAAATCTCCTTCAAACCTTTCCGGTTTGAACTCATAGGGCTCTTCCCAAACTTTGGGATCCCTGTGCATGGCCAAAACATTCACCAGCAGCATTGTGCCGCCTGGTATCTCAAATCCTCCAACTGTGCAGTTTTCAGATGATAAATGAGGTAACAAGACGGGACCCGCAGGATATAATCTAAGCGTCTCATTTATAACACATCTAAGATAAGGAAGCTTCACAAGATCTAACTCATTCAATAAATGCCTATTTCCAACATGGTTGTCAATCTCTGCTTTCACTTTTTTCAACACTTCTGGATTATTTAAGAGGAGTGATATTACCCATTCCAAAGTGACTGCTGATGTTTCTGCTCCCGCTATCAACGTTATCTGAAGAATTAATTAGTTTACAATGTTAGAACTAAGACCTTCCTTGCCACTACAAATATTTTCAGAAATAAATCCAAATATAAAGCAAAAAGATTAAATCAGACATTCACAGTATAGAAATGCCGGTTACACCCAGCTTCTTAAACCAACCATGACACAAAACAAGCTGATGGTCACCAATAATATGTGCCTCTAACCATTTGATCACATCAGATGTAGCATGTTATCCAAAATTTAATGGGCACCTACATTCTAAAGGAGCTTCAATGCCAAAAGTCCAATATTTCTAAATTTGCAAATTTGTACACTGGTCATCCGGATAATGACTAGAATAAGCCTAATTCTCTACTGGTTATCCGAATAGAGGTCTTTAAGCCTTAAGTTGAAATGACTAGAATAAGGTTCAAATAAGAGAACAAGCACTTGCCTCAGTCTTCCACATTTTTAAACTACAATTAAGACCCAAAATTAAGGAATAATTGTGTTTCAAAGGAAAAAAACGGCTACAGTAATAGTGTCGCACAGTGCACAACACTAATACAGAAATGACCTCCAGTGGTCTCCGAGGAAACTTTCTTCCCCAAAGCTTGCTTCTTTTGACACCCAAAACCATAGTGTATTAGTGTAGTAACACAATGCTAAAATAGAATTAGAAAGGAGGAGTATGTATAACTTACAAGCATGATTGTTTTGATAACTTCATCTGTGTAAAATTCAGGTTCCAATTCTTGCAAGGACAGGAGAGTTTCAATCAGCGACTTGTCTTCCTCATTTGATGTTCCTGAATTTCTTGTCTTTAATCGAATTTCATCCAACAAATTTTGCAAATGTTCATCTCTTTTTCTTTGCAGTTTTATCATGCCCTTTTCTATCCCTTTGAAACCAGTCATCCTCAATATTGGGATAAAATCACAGATATTCAAGGTAAGGCTTGGAAAGAAAGTCTCCTTGAATTCTTGAAACAATTGCTTCTCCAACTCTGTGCCTTCAACCTCCTCTTCCACATAACGCTTTCCAACAGTCATTCTCATCACAACATTACACATTAGAACAGAGGACAGAAACTTCAAATCCACGTTTTGCTTTCCACCAGCAGAGAACTTAAACAGTCGGCGGAGTAGTCTAGCAACTTCCTCCTCACGGATAGCAGCAGTTTTTTGGAGGCTTTTCGAAGAGAACATTTCAACAACAGTGAAGCGGCGTAGGATTCGCCAAAGATCACCGTAAGGTGCCCATACAAAGGAAGAGTAGTTATAGGTGAAATGATCCCCTGCCATAGACCGCGGTCGATTTGCAAATATTATATCATTCTTGGCCAAGCATTCTTCAACAGCAGCTGGTGAAGAAACTACAAGAACAGACCGACAACCAAATTTGAGAAAAAGAATAGGACCATATTTTGACTGGAGAGTCTGCAGTGCTAAGGGAAGTGGCTTCTGAATGAGGTGTAGGTGGCCAATAACTGGAAGAGCCAATGGTCCGGGAGGCAAATTCTGCCTGTGATGGGACAAGATTTTGTAAAATAGGAAAATAAATAAGAAAAGCCCCAAGTAATAGTACAAGCTTTCCATTACAATTTACAAAGCAGAAAGGGAAAAGAAAATCCAATCCAACTCTTTTTTTTTTTTTTTTTTTTAAAAAATTCTAATGGACCAGTGGTTCTGTTATTGGGTGTACTGTGTGGCCCTAACCTGGAAAGGCCATGGGTCGGTAGTTCAAATTTGCTGTGATGGACAAGAATTTTGTTCAAAATAGGAAAATAAAAAAAGAAAAGCACAAGTTTCAATAAGTAGTCAACTTTCCATTACCATTTACCAAAAGAGAAAGGGAAAGACAAAATCCAATCCAGACTCTTTTTTTTTTATTTTTTTTTTTTTTTTTTTTTCAAAAAATTAGATGAAGAGTTTAAGACTGAATTAGACTATAGCAATAAGCAACAAATACAAAATCTTTCTACGCGAATTGAGGTGTCAAGTATACGAATCCATTACTCCTTCAACTGCGAATACTTGAAAATTCTAAAGCGTCGTCATTAATGGAGTCATTGCTACTAAAGAATTCCACCTCCACATGCAAGTAGAGTCAAATTACAGAGAGCAAACTGTGTAAATGATTGATGAGACAACACGCTTAGTCAAAAAGGCTGTATTAATCGCAACAACCACACAGCGACTTTGAATTATCCAAGTCTCAAACGGATATGCATTTACTCATCGACAGACGATTTTTCCGGACCAATGATGCACATGTTTTTGTCTTGTCCCTTCTCTTGTCTTGATAAAGCAAAGCGATTTATCAACGAAAATAATAAAATAAAATAAATAATCCAAAGAAGAGGAAGAGTGGATAGCGGGCCTGTCGCCAATTTGGGGGGGTTAAGGATGGATTTGAGAATCATTACACACTGGGCCCAGTAGAATTCTCATGCCGGTCCTTTTACTATGGGCCCGTTAAAATCGCACGGTTCTGACCATGCGAGATTGAAAAGGTGAGAATTATATAAGAGGGCTTTGATAGAAGAAAATATTTGTTTATGCATTTGGGAATTGGGCCCCCAAAGAAAATGGATTATTTTCCTCTTTCGCGAAATTCAGTGGAATAACTAACGGAAATACACAAAAAGTTCAAATATTTTGAAAGAAAAATGCTGGGATACCACAAACCTAATTATGATAGCAAATGGTCAAACGAGTTTCAAATAAAAATACTCACTCAACACATATTCAACCGTAAAATAAATAAATAAATAATAATAATAATAATGTTCTAAAAGTTTCAATCATTCTCAAGTTTATTTATTAAAATACAATTAATAATTTTTTAATAAAATATAAGTGTCTAGAGTTTTTTTTTTTTTTTTTTTTTTTTTTTTTTTTTTTTTTTTTTCTTTTTGAGTGGAAAAGTGTCTAGTAGTTTTGAATACAATTTTTCTAAAAACAAATAAATAAAGGTCAAAAATTTAAATTTGTGTCAATATATTAAAATTCACTTTCCCATAAAATTATTTTTTATATTTTTCATTACCCACTTTGTTAATATATCCTTTTATCAGGTCTTATTCGTGTATATAAGTGTTTAAGTGTTTTCATTTTCCACACTTCAAACATTTGAATATTATATTTTCATACATGTGGTTTTATCTTTTTACTTTTTATATATTTTTTTTTTTTTTTTTTTTTTTTTTTTTTTTTTTTGGAAAACATATATAATATGTTCAGTTAAAATCAACCTCATATGCCAAGTTTGAAAATTCCAAACAAAGTCTTGTTTGGCTTAAAATATCCTACTTTTCGGAAAGCATATTTGGAAAAAGTTTCCTTTTAACTTACATGTATTTTGCTATACAAATCAATTTTTAAAAAGTATATCCGGTTGCAAAAGACAATAATGTCAATTTTATAAATCTGAGTATATGTTTCTACTTTCAAAAGGCAATAAAGTTTCCAATATAAATTTAAATTATATTTAGATAATATGATAAATCGAAAAATCAATTGTTGTGCTTAAACTTGATCCTTGTAAAGAAAGTTGAATGCTTATTTATTTTCCAAGAAATTGAATTACATAAAAAAAGAAAATTATTCACTAGTCACGAAGTAGTTCTCATCTCAAGTCTATTTCCTTCAACCAAACAAAAAAGCACAGTGATTTGCTGATGCACCAAATCAGCTCATATATTGGAAACGGTAGATTCTTTGCTTGCAGTCATTTTATAATGATGTAGACTAATATCACAACCAAATCCCTCTACTATAATCTGCCAAATCCTTTTAGATCTGTGTTTGGTTAGCAATTTAAGGAGGAAAAAAATATATAAAGAAAATGTTTGGATATTTGAGGAGAGAATAAAGAAAGAAAATAATTTTTGAATTATAAGTTTAACCCTTCAATTTTTTTTTTTTAGAAAAGAAAGTATAAAAAATAGAGAGAAAATTATAATTTTAATTATTTTTTCTGGCACTTTCTTCCAAATTGGAGAAACAATGTCATGTAAATTCCATTGTTTTCTTTCTGAATTTTCTTTCGTTTTATATTCTTACCAATCTCAACATACAGTAAAGTATGGTGAAACTGAAAAGAGAACAGAGCCATTAAATACATGAAGAAGGAAAAGGCAGTTCCTTTTATTTTTCTCAGTCTCGGGACCAAATGAAAGAAGAAAAGTGAAAAAAGAAACCGTTTAGAACAGACAATTCGACTTTGCAAGCTTCGGGAACAGTCAAAAGATTATACAAGACTGAGAGATCACTCACCATGAAATTTCCAGTAAAGGAAAAAGATCTTTCAATTTTAATTACTTTTTTTTATAAGTATTAATAAATTCAAATTACATACAATGGGTATACAAAAATATGAGGATCATACATAACTCAGAAGTCCTAAAGAACCCGCAAAAGTTGAAACATGGATGCATAGATATATAAAATTCAAAAGCAAGAAAGAAAATGGCATCCTTACAAGACAAAACAACAATCACCATCTTTGACAAAATCCAGACCAAGAAAACTATAATAGCTAGCGGGCTGTACTCGGCGATGATCAAGTCGTCTTCTTTTTCACACTATGCAGCTCTGTTACCCTTCTTTTTTCTTATATTATTATTTTTTTAATTTCCACATAGCCATTGCCTCAACGATTGTGAAGAGGGTCTGAAGCATTTGGTACTTTTCTTTTGCTTGAGAAAAGCACATCAAAGGAGCTCCTTAAGCGTTGATGCTTCTCTTGTCTTCTTGGTTGCTTGTCGTCCGCATGAGTAACGGCCATTGTCTCTTCTTTCTCCCCTGAAACCAACAGCGAATAAAGAAGAATCAGAACTATTATCTTCTTCTGCTTGAACTGGTGAAAATGCATTTTCTTGCCTATGACTAAATTTTCTTTTTTTTTTTTTTTTTCAAAGAGTAAAAGAGAGAAACTAATATCAACTATTTCAAACAATGGGGAGAGAAATGCAAGGTACGAGAACAGCTAGCTAGACAAAGGAGTAACAAGTGAGAAAGACAAGTGGGAAGAAAGTTAAATGGCTTTGCTAGGGCAAAGAGAAGAGAAGGAAAAAGCCGGTTATGTAATGTGTCATTGAATACCCTGCAAACAGGGGACGCAACTTACGAAGGAGCTTTTTGTTTTTCTTTATAATATTTTCACGAGAGACTTTTCTCCTTAATTTTTACTAATCACACTTCCAGTCCATAAAACAGGGGTCGTACGTAGGTTAATTACTTACTTTACACAAAGAGCATACGGTCCTGAGCTTAATTATTTTTCTGTCTCACCCTCTTTCTATAGGCAAGTCTTTGTCGGCTTTGGAAGATAGTCAATTTACTCTTTATAGCTACATGGTCTAGAGGCAGACTGAATTTACACCTAAAAAACAGAGAAATCAGAGAAATGCCTGAGCTACAACCCTTATTCTTTCTTTCTTTTCAACTTTCAAGAACCCTTTTCTTCTTCATGCAGAGTAAGTAGCTAATGGAAGGACTTATCTATAAATTTTTAAGGAAATGAACAAGTGGGTTTAATAATCTTTGCTTAAAGTACACGTTTTCAGTTGCACGGAGGATGAGAAATAAGTTAAAGATTAAAAAAGTTGAAGTTAATTTTTTTTCGAATGGTCAAATCATAGGGAAACTGAGGCAAATAAGTTACCGTGGGTTTGGCCAGTGAGCTTTGAACAAGACAATTGAAAATGCTATTTTGTATTCATAGAAGAAGATATTCTCTGTGTCATTTCTTCAATGGATGCCTTTCTTTAGCGCCATGAAGAGTGCCTTGACCTTGACTAGTTACTCTCAGCTTTATATCCTCAAAATGGCTTCCAGATTTGGTTTTACACATGGTTCTGAACCTAAAAAGTATGGTGCCAGAATCTACGGAAAATAAGTAAGATATTAATTAGTATAATTTAGAATAAAATAAAATAAAAGAATTTCCATGAATGTGCAAAAAAAAAAAAAACTTATATAATTTCGATTAATGGGTCCATTCATACATCAAATAAAATTAAAACGATGTTTTTTTTTTAATTATAACAAGGATATTAATCAATATGTAAAAATTATTAAATATTCAAAATTTCATTGTTATTCCAAACTATTCTAAATTTCAAATAATTATTACATTCTTATGAGATTGTGTGGCTTATATTATCATAAACCGAAATTATAAGTGAATTTTTGTATGTATTAAATTCATCTTTTCAACATGATTAAAAATCTAGACCATCAATCCCGGAGCTAGGACTCTAGGATCAGGACAATCATGTATAGTATCTCTTCTGTCTCATTTTATTTCTTGTTATTCCTTTTCTGAATATCTCAAAATGTTTAAAAAATTTTTAAATTTAGATTTGTAAATAATTATTTTTTTTCATAATAACTTAAAAAAGTGCAAAATAATTTTTATTGACTAAATTCTTAATATGTGTGTTTTATCGAATTATACAAATAAAATAAAATAAAATAAAGAAAATATATTTTAAGAGATTTATAAATTATAAATATAACCGTTTAAGCGATTCACTTTATAAATATATTATTAACTAATTAGAAAAAATTTTCAATTCAAGAGGTCCATGTGTACCCCCTCAAACCGTACGCGACTCCGCAACTGGGGACCACGACATACACATAGAAATTATGGGATTCTAAAAGAAAGAAACGATAAATTAATGTGCCATTCTATTTTAGTGCTGTCCTCAGTAAATTGCAACTAAGATAATTAAGTAATAATGAATAAAATAAAATAAACATTTATTGCCTTGGAATTTGGATGATTTTTTACTAGCAACGTGGCCGCAGCACCGCGGTGCTTCAGCCCTGGCCCGTCAGGCCTCGTTTGAGGTCAAGGCATCAATCTAAGCTGAATGTTGCCCAACTTGTTTTTTGGCTAACACACTCATTTTTTAGGGCCCAATCTCCAAGACTGCTAACCGAGGCGGATAAAAATTTTGGGCCAATAGATTGACACAGCAGAAAATTACTTTTCTAATTATTCTTCTTTAATTTAAAGCCCCCCCTTCATTCTTCATTATGCCAATATGGCTACAATTCCTAATAATACCAGTCTAAAAAGCCATTGAGAGACCAAAGTTTACAGACACCAGAACCATATGAAAATGAGTACGAGAGAAAGAGACTTGTCAAATGATAAACAATGTGCAAGCTTCCAAGGGTGTAAAAACTTGATCGATCAAGTATTAAAATCGAAATATATTTCCTGGAGTTTGGACCTTGGCGTGGTTCAACTTGAAGAATCTGCTTCAATGTTACTTGGCCAAAACTGCATACTGAGGCTTTCTTTTCTTTTTTTTCAGGTATGTCTCAACTTGCAACTTCGACCAATAACTTTTTTGCTACCTTATAGGGAACGAAAAATTGGGTTCTATTCTTCTGGAACAAAACGACAAGTAATGATAGCTTTCCAAAATTTGTGCTAGCTTCATTGCATAATCTGTGCGTGGGATAATTAGTCCATTTCAGGTGGAAAAGTTGAATTAGAGAACCATCTACTTTCTCATCTAAAGTCATTAATAGTTTTGTTTTTTAAAAGCAGCCATTTTTATCCCATCCCGTAAGAGGAATATGCCTAATTTCCACCTCTGTCACCCAACTCAAACCACTAAGTTAAAGATACCCTTTTGGATTAGACAACTTTCTGTTTCAACCCCCCTGAGTCATCAACCACTATCAATCTCATTGTCTCTTATGGAATCTTCACTTGTCCGTATCTCACCGGCATATATGAATGCAGAACTACGTAATATGCCCACTTATACAACTCAAATCTTCAGATGGAATTGTTTAGCATGGTTATTTTCCAATATCACCATTGTGTTTTTAGCCTAAAAATAGAAGAAATGTTAATTAAATACAACAAACCATCAATACTGTCATGTCTAAAGCCTTCAATTCACTGAATGTTTTGGAACTTGAATGTTATGCCTAAAGCCTTTTTTTTAATTGTTCTGTCTGTTCTTGATCTTGAAGCTTCTCCGGATTTTTGTTTCAATTAATATATGTCTTTAATTATTGCAAGTGATTTCACTAACTAAAACAAGAACTGTTTGATAAAATGGATAAGCTATTAACTAAAAAGCTTGCATAAGGACTGCCGACAAATCCTGTGGTTTTCACATCAAACCAGAATCAGAAACCCTTTCAAGCTCTAAGGTCATTAGCAAACTTTTTTGGAAATAACTGAAATCATGGCAGGCAGCAAGGATAATTATGATTTTGATATGACAGTGATATAATTGTTGCCAGATTGTAATATTGAATCATAAACTAGAGCAATTACATTAAGATAATAGAAATGCCCCTGGTATGCCATAACAGGACAATTGAGAGCATTATAAAAAATAGTCTCCAAATATCCATTGCCACTTCAGTTTCTTAAGTTTACAGCCTCCAGTGGTGAAAATGCTCCTGCAAAGTTCTCTCATCAACAAGAACAAGAAAATATTTGGAGATACCTACTTTGGTGGTACTGGAGAAGGCAATTCAAATGAATGGTTGGACTTGAGCACAGGCCCGATGGATATAGAACAGGCTTCTTTATCCAAAACTACTTCCAATAAGGTTTTTCCTTGCAACTTCTGCAAGAGAAAGTTCCAGAGTTCACAAGCACTCGGTGGCCATCAGAATGCACACAAGAAGGAGAGAGGAGCAATGAAGAGATATCAGTACGAGAGGCATATGGCAATAAATGAATTTTTTGCCAGTAAAAGAATGACTATGTCGCTTAATGTTCATGCTCATTCACTCATCGATAAAAAATTTAGGGAAGAGGATGGAATGATTGGAAAATTCAAGAATGTTAACCAAAGATTTGGAGCCGATTGGACAACTGTTAGATCTGAAGAGTCAATAATTGCGAAGTGGCCTGGAAGCTTTCGCTTGCCCTCAGAGGAGCACAAACAGCCACTTGACTCGCTTAAAGTAGACTTGACTCTGCGGCTTTAACACTTCTCTCTGTTCTGACTACTGTTTATTCATGCGAAACGTTCCGTTTCACTAGTTTTTATTAGATCAGCAGCAATCAGGAGTAACTAAAATGTTTGGAACAAGATGAAAACTGAAGAGGCAGGCCTCTCAGAACAGAGAAATTGAATGCTGAAAATGTTAGTTGCACTTGTTCTCCCACTAGGAAATAACAAATCAAAAGGTCTACTTGTCAGAATGTAATTATCTAGTTAAAAACTTATCAGACGTAAAGCAATCAAATAACACCTGTGGTTTTCAACTCTTTAAGTTCTCAATTTTATCATACTATCTCAATTTCCATTCCCTCAAAATAACTACTAGCCACTGCTCATTTCATTGTGAGATCCTTCCCAACTCTTAAATATTTATGTGAACAAGAGAAGGTAAATGCCATTCACATATTTGAAATGAAATAGAGACAATTTTTCATCACAAGATTTTGTAAATCAGAAGCAACTAAGAACAAAAACAAAATTTGTCAACATTATTTACAATATTTCCCTAGAAATTCAAGTTTCTGACAGTATTAAATCCCTAAGCTAGTATCAGCATGCAGGATAAACAAGACCATAGCACAATCATGGCCAAAAAACTCACTTCAAGAATTGCCACATCAATCAAGATTTTTGTAAATCTAAAACGCTATGCTGCCAGTGTTAGGATTCTTCTCTTTTCGGACTGCACAACCCAAGGTCCATTCTCTTTCACTTGTAAAATCATCAAACAGTAGGATGCCAAAATATCATCATTCTTTAACACCTTCAAAGAAATAACCTGGTACTTCCGGAGGTGAAGGCAGTGTTGCAACATATTTGAACTGCATCCAGAAAATAATTCAATATAATCAAGATTATCATTTTGGTTGTTGCAATCAATTGGAACCCTGAATATGTTGAACTGGAACCGTACCTTATGTTGCTTGTATTTTTCTCTTACAGCTTGTAATCCAGCTCCTCTTCTACTCAAATATAAGTCATGTATGATAAGAACGCATTCCTTCAGCTCAGATGACTTGTATCGAGAGTATTGTTGCAGGGTTAAACTCTGTAAAAAAGGTAAATTGGTAAGATTGCTGCCTATGTTTAAATATTGACTTAGAATTGACATTATCTGAAATAAGAATCTTACCCAAGGGTGCATCTTTGGTTTAATTATGAATCTTGCTAGAAAGATAACGGATGCAGCCACCAACGAAGGCAAAAATTTAACACAATTGTAATCCAACAAACTTAACTCAGAAAGGTAGTATCCCAGGAACTCAAGTTGCAAATTCAACATCTGTAGAAGGCAGAAACACATTATTCGTCAGCAACACAGGCTGAACGCATAATATTACAAATTCAAGCTCTGTATATATGTTATGCTTACCTTGTAATCCTCTTGTGCAACATTGGTAAATCTCCTGCAAACCCACACCACAAAAGGTACCAAAAATGAGTCCATGGATCATTTTGCATTAGCATTTCAGATACCACACAGATCAAATACAAGCAAATAAGAGTTTTAATGAACACTTTTCTTACCTCAGGAAAGTCTTTACTGTCGGGCTTCCCAGTTCAAATTTTAGAGACTTGAGTAAGTCAGCCTCCATCTTCACAACCTTCAGGATCATCAATAAAACATCATTATTTAAAAAAATGTTAATAAATACAACAAAACAAAAAACTTCATCCTAAAACGAACAAGCCAAGGTATACAAGATAAAAGAAAAGGGGATCAAAATACCTCATCCTTTGTGTATGTGTTATCGGTGATATAGCAAAAATCTTCCACGTTTGGAGGGCTGATTTCTTCGTACTTTCTACATATTGCAATCACAGTAAAGAAATATAAGTAAACCCTAAAATACAAATGAACACAACCAGAAACAGTAAACAAACTTCAAAGAACTCGGGCGCTTACGATGCAATGAGCATAGAGGAAACACCCAGTAGCTGAAGTTTTTGCCTGTTAAGAACTTTCAGAGACAGGAATCTGTCAATGTAGGAAACGGTGAGATAGAGAGTATCTGAGACAAGCTTGTACTCCTGTGCAACCTCCACCAACCAATCCACCAGAATCCCTCTCATGTTGGGGCTAACATCCTTTTGGACTTGCTCAATGTAATCAGGCAATGGCCTCCGCTTTGGTTCCACCTAAAAGATCAGTGCATCAGCAAAATTAACCCCAACTGGCAAAAACACAAATAATTTTAACAATGCCAATTATTTCAAATTATTTAATTAAACCTAAAACCCAAATCGAATACCCTGACTCAAATTAAACTTAAATATAACTCTTTCACCAAATCTGGTTTCAAAATCAAACCCAGATGCCAATACCTATTATCGCTTTAATCCCCCAATTAGTAACACCAATAGCCATGAATCAAGTTCTGAAAGTGACAGCTTGATTCAAACGGGAACTGTCAATTTCACATTAATAAACTACAATTCGAAACCTTAAATTCCTCCCTTTATGTATATAAGAAATAGCATTCGCAGAACAAATGCAAACAGATGTATCAGAGATCCAAAGCTCCATTGCGAATGGTGGCCTACTTACCTCCATTTTGTGAAGATACTCATAAATGTCAGATGCATATGGTCCGCACATCTGGGGATCTTCAGACCTTCCATCAATGTCTTCCTTCGGAACATCTTCATTGTTGACTAAGATAGCCTTCTTGGACTTTGGCTTTACTTTATTTTTCTGCTTCTGACTCACATCCCCAACACTATAATTCACTGGAGCGACAACGTTCGAAATATTGGGAAGCTCTCCCAACACCACCCTTTTCTTTTGCACAGGATGCTCCTCCGCCGGAGCAATTGCCGCAGCCGCCCTCTTTCTAGCTGCGCGAGTAACGCGAACACAATTCTCTGTGTCTGCCATTGAAACTATACGCTCACTCACCCTCTATTCACTTGCAGGTAGAGTTGAATTGAATAGAGAGCGAGAGAAAGAGATGGGGAGGGCTGAGCGGAGTTTGGGAAGAATATGTAATGGTGAAGTTTGGAGGGAGAGGGAATGAAAGAAACGAAAGTAAAGAGAGAGAGAGCGCCATTTTTGTTTTTGAAAAACTGATGTTGGCGGTTGTTTGGTTTTTGCAGTTTTGGTCTTTGAATTTTGGAGGAGTCTTTTGTTATCTATTTTTCAGGTTTTGCGTTTTGGTCAAATTTTAAAATCCAAATGTTTTTGGGGAGGAGGCGGGCCTCGTTAACTGCTGATTCGGCGCTCTTTAATTTTCGTGTCGGTGTGGGCCCACCTACATGTACTATCATGTGTCAGCTCAAACTAGTGTCTCGTTCCTTTCTGATAACAACCGTTAGATGGTGAATATATCTTGCGCGCTGGCATCATCAATTTATTAATTATCCTCAGCCGTTGGATCTCTGACTCACTCTTTGATTTAGGCTCTATATTTCATTAAGAATAACAATCTGCATTACCCCTGACATTGTTTTCTAATATCATCAACTGGCTTGTTATTAGTTGCAAGGAATCGTCTCAATCTGCAATCCGTAGGCCTAGCTTGTTCATTTTCAGGGAATCCTATGGAAATGTAAAAGTAAAAAAATGAAATCTACTTGCAACTTTTATGATAACATTGCTTGCGTCTCTATATCAGAAATAATATTTTTAAGGTGTTTTTAGTTTTTATATATAAAATATTAATTTGACATGGTTATCATAATTTTTGACATAATAATTTACGTATTTTTTTAAAATTTTTTAATACTAAATATTTAATAAATTTAATTTTATAAATTGAAATGTTCAATAAAAAAACTTTACAAATTGAAACATTTAGTATATGCAATTTTATAAGTGAATTGTTTTCGCACAAAGTACAATAGTAAATTTATATATTTAGCCATCAACTTACTTTGTGTGATTTTTTTTTTTTTTTTCAAATTTATATATTTAGCCATTTCAACTCACTTCCGTGTGATTTTTTTCTTTTTTTTTGGAAGATAATGCTTTATTTCGATTATTAGGTGATTTTTTTTTTTTTTTTGGAGAAATGCTTTATTTGATTATTGGAAAAATAGGATTTAAATATTTTCTTCTCTTTTGCTTCCTTATGGGAAAATCAAAATAAAATGAATTTTGATATACTAGTATAGCATTAATAAAAACCATTTAGTAGGATATGAATAATAAAGATAAATTTAACTTCCTCTGTATATTTAACAGAGCATCCAAACAAGATTAAATAAAATATCGTTTAGGAAACAATTCAAAAATTATATATATCCTTTAGCGATTGGGATGGCATCAGTGTTGCTTCGTTAAAATCTCTAGAAGTATGGGGTTGAATTACCTAAACTGGATTTATGATACAGCCATGTATCAAATTAATAAAAATATTTTTTTTTTTTTGAAATAAAAATAGCTATGACTATATATTAAAAAAAAAGTATAAATAATTTTACAAATTTATATTCAATATTTTATTTATTAACCAATCATTAACTCAGTCTAGGCAAATAAAATGTTCATTGCTCCATCACCAGAACCTTTATATACAAAATAAATTAGGTTTAACTATCAATTTCATCGTAAATTAACTTCTGTACCTTAAACACAGCTAACTTATCAATTTAATTGCAAGTATCCTATTTTATGCTTTGGGTGTAATACCTTAAAAGCAAATTAGGACATCTTGCACTCTATAATTAAATTAATTTTAGGATTTTGATTAGTATAATATAGCAATAGTTTCTATAATTAATCAAAGCTTTTTTTCATTATAAAATTAAAGGTCCAATCTTTATTTATTTATTTATTTTTGTTTATTCCAATATTTGAGTTTCAATTTTCTTGTCCTTTTTTTTTTGAATATTTTATTGTCCATTTTTTTAAATATGTGAGTTATATTACTTGGTTCCCTTTTAATTCAAGTAGTTTAGTTTGCATTTACTTTTACGGAGTCATGCTTTTATAGTTTTTTTAATCAAAATTGCAACCTTAATTTACTTATAAGGTGCATTATAATATATCATAATTTTAGGGCATCCATAATATAAAGGTCAACTTAAAGTGAAATTATAACTATTTGAAAAGTTCGAAATGTAATTAATAGTCAAATCAACTAAAAATATAACACCTAATTCAACCTAGCCTATTTATTTTAATTTACAAATGATTTTTTGTCAAAATAAAAAAGTACCTTTTTGAAGTTGATTTAATAAATTTTATATGTAAATATAAAATTGCTCTCTATAGTTATAAAATAATATCTCATGTATATTCTAAAAAAACCACGATATATAAATATATACTCCTTAATCATTTAACAATTAGCTCTTAATATGAAATATTAATAATTTAGCTTAATAAATTATTAATTCAGACCCAACAATTAAAATTCAACTAAAATAAATAATGTTTAATTTCCTCGCATGCCAATCAAACTGAAAACTCCTTTTAAATATGAGATTGTGATAACACAAGTATAAATTGAGATAGATTTCTCCCTTTGTTTATGTTTTTTTTTTCAAGTTATTAGAAAAATTGCTTTAATACTATGTCTTGTTTACATGCAAAATGAAATTATAAGAAATAAAATATGGTTACTCTATAAAGTTCGTATAGAATATAATTAATACTTATTATTCGATGTTTATAATTCTTGTTTTTTATAAATTTAAAAACAAGTATTTCATATAATAAACTATTATGTAATTAGAATTACAAACAAAACTTAACTTTACAAATTTTATATTTCACGAAGTAATTATTTAACGTTTAAATTCAAAATAAAACTAGATTCCTTCCCTATTTTATGCCATTCCGTGAACTGAATCAGACCTATTTGCATAATCAAATCGAGTACACCACGTACTACGTATATCCCCATGTGCTCCTTGGCGGTACTAGATCAGGGTCCATTAATGCAATGAGTATCTATCCAACGGGGCCCGTCCATCACAAGACCCTTGGGCTCTTTGTCTTCGGCCTTTTTTTCTTTTTCCTCTCTCTTTTTTTTTTTTTTTTAATATTTACTCAGGAAGAAGATGTTTCTGAGGGTTATATACGTGAAAAATTTCAAATCCTTAATTCCTTGATAGTCTTTTTTATTGGAAATTTGTGTAGAAAATATATGCATTTGCTTGTTTAATTCATAAGAAGTTTTAAGATTATTGTTAGATATATTAATGAAGTTCAGTTTTTTTTTTTTTAATTTATAAAAAAAGTTTCAAAATTAAAGAAGCGGAGGTAATAATGAACTGTCAAAAAAGAAAGAGGCCTAGACAAGTGACTTTGTAATTAGGGTTTGAAATAATAATAATAATAATAGTAATAATGACTTGTCAATAAAAGATTCATCGAAAATAGAAAATTCATACGTGTTACAGTTAAAAATAGATCCCTCTGTTCCAAAATTTGACGTGCAAAGAAAAAAAAAAAAAGCATATACTGCAACAGAAAAACATCCGTAAATTGTACCAGAAAAAAAAAAAAAAAAAAACACCCCCCCCCAACAAGTGACTTTGTAATTAGGGTTTTGAAATAATAATTAATAATAATAGTAATAATGACTTGTCAAATAAAAGATTCATCGAAAAATAGAAAAATTCATACGTGTTTACAGTTAAAAATAGATCCCTCTGTTTCAAATGTTTGAACGTTGCAAAGAAAAAACAAAAAAAAGCATAATACTGCAACAGAAAAAAATCCGTAAATTGTACCAGATAAAAAAAAAAAAAAAAAAAGCATCCTTTGAAAACTTGGCTAATTGAGAGTCAGAAATGGTTGATGAAAAAAAAAAAAAAAAAGCATCCTTAAAACTTGGCTATTGAGAGTCAGATGGTTGATGGTGTCATTTGAGACAAATACAATTCAAGAATTGCTCGTTCTCTGGGTTGCGAAGCATTAATGGAGCTATTACCTGCCAACATATTTCCAAATCTCAATCACATAAAGCGGAAATTCATATTTTCATATTTGGTACAACTAAAATTCATTTGTTTTAGTACTAAACAGTATTGTTTTTTGGCTGAATCCAAGAAGCATGATTTATAGATAAATTTGGCGTTTTGTCCATAAATTTACTCAAAGCAGTAGAAAATGAAACATGATGAAGGAGTATAGGATACTATATGCCAAGTACCTGTTGGGTAAAATTCAGTCCAAGGAGACAAGTTTACATCAATAACTTGTCCAAACTCAGGACGTTGCACATTATTGTCCTCCTCCAAACCACTTCTTGGGCTTATATGATCATCAAGATTGATATTTTGTCCATGCACAAGAGTTGGCAACACTTCTGCTCCGCTCTGCACTTGATTTCTTGAAATTGATTGCAAAAAAGAAAGATATATTTTAGTATTGCTAATTCCGTGAACACTGTTAAAACTTGAAGATTTGGGTTATACAGTAATTATAAACACCTTAAAGGAAGCTGGAGACCAATGGAGTCCAAAAAATTCAAGATTTGAACTTGTGGTTCTCTTTCATGAAACCAATCCAAGACATTACTCGGACTTTCTTCTGTGACAAAATCATCTATATATGCTGTCTTTGGAGGAAGATGAACCTGATTAATTAGGAAAATTACTCTTAAAAAAAGGTCCTATTCAAATTAATCCATTTAAAATGATAGCTAGCGTACCTGTGAAGCTGGTGGAGCAGCAGAAGAATTGTAATTTTCTTCCAAAAATTTCTGTTTCATCATAAATTTAACATTTCTAAGATATGATTAAGTTAAAAGTTTAGCCGACCAAAGTAATATACCTACTACTCGCTAATATAGTTATTACAGGAATCAATAACATGTTACCTTGCGCATTCTCATGCGATTCAATGCCCCTTCAAGAATTTGCTCCTGATACTCAGCTTCAGGCAATGTTATTATATGGGAAAGATTGCCCTCTAAAATTCTGAAACAAATTACAATTTTATAGTGCATGTACTATTGTCAGTACTCATGCTGTCTTAAGAATTTGAACACTAGCTAGGGTTTTGTTTGATGCTATTAGAAAGGAGTCACCTTAGTTGTTTCTCCATATTTTCCAATTGCGATTTGAATCTAACAATTTCTTGTTGAAATTCCTGAATTATAATTAACATATCAGTTCCTTTCAAAAAAAAAAAAAAAAAAAGAAAAAAAAAATTATATATTAACATATCAGTTCCTTCAAAAAAAAAAAAAAAAAAGAAAAAATAAAATATCATTTCTCACAATTAACAATATAGTACACACGAATATTTCTCTCTCTCTCATCATCTCTCGTCTCTCTGTTAGAGTTACAGTTATCATAAGACAGTGAATTAATACCTCATAGTTGAGCAGTGGTCGCAGGGCTGTTAAAGGAATAAGGTAAGTAAATACATTGATTTTCTAAATAAAATTTACAATTAATAGTATGAAAAAAAAAAAAAAAAAAAGAAAAAAAATATCATTTCACAATTAACATATATACAACGAATATTCTCTCTCTCTCTCTCTCTCTCTCTCTGTAGAGTTACAGTTATCATAGACATGAATTAATACCTCAAGTTGAGCAGTGGTCGCAGGGCTGTTAAAAGGATAAGGTAGTAAATAATTGATTTCTAAATATAAATTACAATTAATAGTATGCAAGAAGAAGGATTATGAAATTCAAAACCTGGTTGCTTGGAAATTACTTTGATCCCCTTCAGCTTTTAACTTACCAAGAGCTTTCTGAAGGAACTGCAAAGCAATTTCGAATTATTAATTCCACATATACAAGTCTTTGAAACTCGTCGAATAGCAGTGATAAGAATTGCTCGTAATTACCTCTTGGTTATGGAGTCTATGAAACCACGAAGCGGCAACAAAGATCAAGAAAACCATCAACACTTCTATACTATACATTCAAGAAAGAAAAAAACAAAGATCAAGAAAAAAACTAATATAGCCATCAACTTACCGTCCTCTTTCGTGCTCAGGAATATTGATATATCTAGTCAGAATTTCTTCAATGCTTCAAGAAGGCCAAAAACAAATCAAAGTTTAATAACTAATAATAATTACTTTCATTTCTTGAGTTGATTTTTAAGTTTTCAGAAAATTAATAATATAAGCACATAAACCTTTTGTTTCCAGAGAAAAGACTGAGTCTCCCAGATGGAGAGAACATGATTAGAGCTACATCAACATCACAAAGAACAGAAAGTTCGTAAGCTTTCTTGATAAGCCCATTTCTCCTTTTAGAGAAAGTGACTTGCCTGTTTGTTGTATTTTCTATTCTCTTGATCTGAAGCTTTACTCTTCCCATTCAGCTATATCCTCTTAATTTCTATCTTTCTTGGCTTTTTGTTTTTGAAAAACCTTCAGAATAGGGCAAAGAAAGTCAAGAATTGCAGGAGAGGAGTATCAAATCTGTTCGTAATTAACAGATCAACCAACATATAACATAAATATACTCCCACCGTTGGAAGCTAGTTATGGAAGAATAGGAAGTGAAATGGTTTATGAAGAGGAAAAGAAAGATTTAGAAACACATATAGAGCTGATTTTGTCACTGTTAGGCCATACACAAGGATGACGAGAGGAAGAAAGAGAGAGTTGGTCGGTGCCGTATCTAGCACTGGAATATCTCGATGCTTACCTTACTTTCTGCCTTTTACATTTGTGAAAAAATATATATATAACCTACTAGTAAGCAAAATGATTATATGAAGTTCACGCACTTCATGTGAAGAAAAAAGAACAAATAATCTTTTTTCCTAATTTTAAACATAGCAGTTTGTTATTTTATTAAATATTTTTCCATCTAAAAATACAAAAATTAAAATTGTCTACTTTTTCTTTTTGCTCGTGGAGTGTGCACACGTATGTAATGCACATGAATTAGCATATGCTTTATAAAAAAATGCCATAATTTTGATGAAGGTAATAAATATATATAATGTTTTATTATGTTTAAGAGGGAAAAAAAATCTCCTCTTTTACTATTGATATATTAATAATTTTTTAGAGAATTTAAATTAACTTAAATTTTTTTTCCATTTATTTTAAAAAAATTGACTAATATAGACCAGATCTATAGATTTACTCATGGACTAAACTAATATAAATAAGTTTATATTAAAATAAAGGTATTTCTAATTAAACTAGAATACGATATTTATCAAAATATATAATATATTTTATGAAAATCACAAATCAATTTTATATTAACGTTATTTCTTTCTCTCTATTTTTATTGAAAAATAAAAATGGACATTTGAGTATTTTATGCTTGTTAACTAATAGGTACCGAAATAAACTTTAAAAGAGAGATATAAAAATGAAATCAAATGTCAAAAATATTTAGAAGTTGATATGTATAATTTTTGAAAATTTTAAAAATAAATTTCATTACTTTGATTTTTAAAGATAAATATTAAAAGGAAAAGTTCCATATTTACAAAGAATTTAGAATATTCAGAATTGAAATCACTTCCAAACGGTTTTAAGTATGAGAAATAACACCCTTACAAATGATATAATCAAATATATTAGACAAAACATTACTTATATAACTACATAGTTATAAAAAAAAAAACAAAAAAATAATTGAGATATTACTACTTACGCAGAAAGAAGTAATTACGTACCTTGAGATAGAAGAATAGCCAGGCAAAAAAAAATATATATATATATATATAAAGAAATTGGTTTGATGTGCTCGAGGTTAACAAGGACGCAGAGAATTGTGTCTGGGTGTGGAGGGGTGAGGTGAGGGCCCCAGACAGCACATGCTGCTTTATGCTTTCAGTTGTAATCCAAAGGTTACAAATTACTACGTGTCACTCTTTACTTATTTTCTTCCAATTAGGTCCACCTCTCACCCCACGAGTCACACTATTACTCACACGTGTGGCCCACCTCATTCTCAGTCTTTTCCTCGAAGCAAAAATTATGCTACACAATGATTTATTATTTGATTTTGACAATTGGAACTTTCATATCTGAAATCCGAATAAAAGAATTTTAGAAAGAAAAATGTATTTTTTTTCTTTAAATAATATCGTATTCCAATTATGTAGGTTTTTTTTTTTCTCATGGTCCTCGAACTTTTATAAATTTCAATTTTAATTCTGTATGTAAAATCTTACTCAAAGTCAAGTGAATGGTGCATACTAAATCTCGAACTTGATTATAAAATTGGATTTTGAAGTCAACATTTGCAGAGACTTTTCATATAATGGTTTTCCAATTTGAAAGAGATTAATTTTAGTCAATCTGTTTTGATTTTAATAACTGTCTTACCGGTTGATAATTAAAACCGAGTTGCATAGTGTTTTGGGCCAGCTTCCTCTTGAAGGATCCATTACTACCGTATCAATTAAGTTATGCTTAAACATTACAGTATTTTTAGGCCTCTTGGGTTTTTAAAGACAGGCCCAAGGTTGCTTCTCCTTTTGAAAGATAATATGTTTTTTTTTTTTAATATTATTATTATTGTTTAGGGTGTAAAAAAAAAAGTAATCAGTCGAAAAAAGAATTTCTTTAAAGAAGAAAACAGTTTTGACAGTAACAAATCTATTACCAAAAAATAATATAATAGAGGAGAAATAAACAAGGGAGCACAAAAAAAAACAGAAAAACAACTGTTAACGAAACAAATAACGGATACCTAACATTCAAAAATGAATCAAAGCAACTTGTCGTTCAATTACCCGCCAGAAGCAGCGTGGTAGTTAGTTAAAAGCCAATGCACTAACCTACTAGTCTCCTCTTGCACCAAGCCAAACCGAAACTTATTGTTAGCTCTTTCACTCTCTCTCTCTGTTTCAACCTGTCCAGCGCAGCCATGTTCAGGCCAGTGTTCTCGCCAGCTCCTATCCGTCATCGGCGACTGCGAGAATCTTTGGGACGGTTACTTGCGCCCTTGACACTGTGGATATGTGGCATGTAATTCTACCATCTATTTCAATTTTTTTAATTTAATTAATCCTTCAATCTGAAGCGAGCATTTCCATTTTGGGTTTTTGATTTGCAGTTTCTGTAAGTTTAAGATATGGGTATTACGGGGATCGCCGAATGGTGCTTGGACCTAGCTCATCCCGCTTGATGAAAGCAAGTTCTGTATTTGTAGAGCAAGTTGAAGTGAGAGATGAAGATAAGAAAGGGGTTCTTCTATATGGTTTCTTTGAGAAACCTGAATTGAGTTTGGAAACGAATTGGAGCACATCGGATTACATAATTGTTGCATCTTACAGTCGAAAGGTAACATTTTGAAATTCTGTTCAATTACAATCATGTTTAGCTGAATTGCTGCTTTCAAATCATTGAATTTTTTTTTTCCAGGGATTTTCTTTGTGGTTGAACAGGGGTTCAAGGATTCGTATGAGATGGGAAACTCAAACTAGCATTTTAAATCAACTACAAGTCGTTTTAGTTAAAGGTTGTTTCGGTTATTGAGTCTTTGAAGTGGAAATTGGTCAATCTGAATTACAATTTTCACTTTCAGCATAATAAATACTATTCAAATATGTAATCACACATCTGCTCCTGCAGGAGAACGCACGTATGAAACTCTGCTGCCAAAAGTGACTACTACTCTTGATGTCTTTAACCTCAGTCAATCCCTAAGAGGTAACCGTTTCTCCCCTTTCTGAGCTATTTATCAGAAAGGCTTGATTATGTTAAAACAATAACATATTTTTCAGGTAAAGAAGTTGAATACATTATAGAAGAGGACGACAAGTACTATCTTGGTCTGGTAAACACAAACCGCAAAAGCATTATAATGAAACTATCTCTAAACGTTACATCAAAACTTTATGATATATCAAAAGCCAAGAATATGTGCTCAACAATAAACGGATCATGCCGGCTCAAGCTTCTATTTCCAAATATTCATTATGTTGTAGTAACCACACCTGATAATGTAACGCCCTAGTCCCTTTCTTTCTCAATTTCCTAATCTTAAATCATATCTTTCCCAAAAGACTGAAGTCTAATTAGTTAAATTGACTGCAGGATGATACTGGCGGATGGTATGTCGAGCTTTCTTTCGTGGCACGGGTGATAACTTACATTGCAATTTTAGGTACAAAATTCGTTAGTCTCAGAATCTTATAATTTAAGTACTAATTGAGAATGCCTTTAATTTTTGTTTTGCTGTTTTTCAGGATTTATTATTGTTATTATTTTCCTGGTGTTGAAATATCTTGGAGCTTGTGATTCTGAGACTACTTTAGTAGAAACAGCACCGAGTTATCAAGTTTCTGAAAGTGAGACAGAGCCTATATTGCCACAAAAGTCAGTTCCTTTCACATATGGAACGAATGTAGAAGAAGATGAAGAAGATAGATCGTCTAGCAGTTCTTCTGAAGATTTATATGATGCAAAATTGTGCGTCATCTGTTACGATGAGCAAAGAAACTGCTTTTTTGTTCCTTGTGGCCATTGTGCCACCTGCTATGACTGTGCTCAAAGGTACATATTGTAACATCTATACATGTTCCGTTATAATTTTTTTTCCCCCCTAATTTGAAGATTTAAGAGATTCTGATTGAGGGTTTGCTCCACAGGATTATGGAGGGGGAAAACAAGATATGTCCCATATGTAGAAGGCTAATAAACAAAGTAAGAAGACTTTTCACTCCATAGATGCAACAACTCCAGCTTAAAGACATGTGTGCATAAGATTCAGGATTTTCATATTATTGAAGGGAAGGAGTGATATTTTTTTGCTTCAGTTCCGTGCCTTTGTATTTGTTTATAAATTACTTGGCTACTGTTCATTTATTTTCTGCTAAAAATGCTTTTTTTTTCCAAGTTAAATGAGAAACAGGAGTCCTCAAAGCATTTACCAATGGACCCAAAAAAAAAAAAATAGTAACTTGAGAAGCATTTCTCCAGTTTTCTACATATAGTTATTGTCAGTTTATTCATCCAAATTGATTTAGAATATACTCTTTTTTTAGTCATACTCGTTGGGCATTGGGCAAGATAACCTTTTTTCTGGCCCACAGGCCCTAGAAACTCACATCCATAAATTATAATTTATTTCAAATTATAATTTGTGAAATAAATTAAAGCATCGTGGCCATTCCATCATCACCAGAAAAAAAAAATAATAAAAAAAAAATAAACTTTGATCCTTGATATTACAAATACACAGCCATTGCTCTCTTCCTTCTTGTAAAAGAGCAGCAAGACTAAAATCTAATCTGTAATATATCTCTTCCTTACTTCTTAAACCCATGACTTCGAACACATTGAAACGTACAAACGCAACCCAACAATTCACATAGTTCATCTGATTGTCATTTCCCCTGATTCTGGTTGTCTAATTATCCCCAGGCTCTAGCTACTTAAATTTGGCCGGATTTTTTAAGCCAAGACGAACATACGAGCACTCGAGGAGAATCCTTGATCGCCCATTTCAAGCCTCCATTTCGCTTTTCTTGATTATTTATTCTTTTTGGATCACAGTTAGTGGCACAATTCTCTCCAATATGGAAATTTCATATTTCTTCAGTATTTTCCTGGTCTTCGTATTTCTTTATTTTCTCTCTAAACATTTTCTTCTAATAAATAAGAACCTGCCACCAAGTCCAGGTCTCTCCTTACCCATAATCGGCCATCTCCACCTCTTCAAGAAACCTCTCCACCGCACCTTTGCAAATCTTTCAAACAAATATGGTCCAATTCTATTCCTTAAATTTGGGTCCCGTCCTGTCCTCCTTATATCATCTCCTGCTGCTGCAGAGGAATGCTTCACTAAAAATGATATCATTTTCGCAAACCGTCCCAAACTTCTGGCTGGAAAACACCTCGGATATGATTACACCACTCTTGTTTGGGCCTCCTACGGCGACCACTGGCGCAACTTGAGGCGCATAGCTTCAATTGAACTCTTATCATCGAATCGCCTCCAAATGCTTTACAATATACGCGTAGAAGAGGTCAGATCATTGGTTTTTAGCCTTTTTAGAGGATCAAAGAGAGGCGAATTTGTGGCGGTTGACATGAAATCAATGTTTTTTGAGCTTTCACTTAATGTCATGATGAGGATGATTGCTGGAAAACGATATTACGGAGATAATACGAAGGAATTAGATGAAGAAAGGAGATTTAAAGAAATTGTAACAGAGACTTTTCAATTAAGTGGAGCAACTAATATTGGAGATTTTATACCTGTTTTGAACTGGATTGGTTTAAACAAGATCAAAAAAAGGTTAGAAGCACTGCAAAGAAAGAGAGATAGGTTTATGCAGGATTTGATTGAAGAGCATAAAAGACAAAGGTGTTTGGATAAGGAATGGAAGAGCAAGACAATGATTGATGTGCTCTTAAGGTTGCAAGAAGATGAACCTGAATACTATACCGATGAAATAATCAGAGGCATGATGCAAGTAAGCTCTATCTTTTAATAGTCAAATTCATAATATAGCCAGTAATTCAACTCCATCTTCCTTGTTAATTGCTATATTTTTTCTTTCAGTTGCGTCATTGATGACATAAATTCTTAATACTGAAATTATCTATCAAATTGGTTATATACTATTCTATTCTCTTAGTAAAATTGACATTTTTACTTAACTTTGTACCCAGGTTCTGTTATCAGCTGGAAGTGATACTTCTGCTGGAACCATGGAGTGGGCAATGTCACTTTTGCTCAACAACCCAAACACCCTTATTAAAGCCAGGGCCGAAATAGACAAAAATATAGGTGAAAGCAAGCTCATTGAAGAGTCAGACCTTTCCAAGCTTCCTTATCTCCATTGCATCATTACCGAAACACTTCGAATGCAGCCTGCTGCCCCATTGATACTACCCCACGAGTCATCAGAGCAATGCACTGTAGGAGGTTTTTATGTCCCCCGTGGCACAATGTTATTGGTGAACACTTTTGCTATCCAAAATGATCCTAATTTATGGGAAGAGCCTAGCAAGTTTGAGCCAGAGAGGTTCGAGGGTCTAAAAGGGAAAAAAGAGGGATATGTACTGTTACCATTTGGGGCAGGGAGGAGAGGGTGTCCTGGAGAGGGCTTGGCCATGAAGATGACTGGGTTGGCGTTAGCAACTTTAATTCAGTGCTTTGAATGGGAAAGAATTAGCGAAGAGATGGTGGACATGAAAGAAGGGAATGGACTCACCATGCCCAAGGCTGAACCCTTGTTTGCTAAATGTAGGCCTCGCCCAACTTTATTGGACCTTCTTTCTCACTTCTAGAAAGTATTTGGTGTCCACAATTGTAATTTCATCTCTGGAAGATGCAGGGTAAGTCTCTTATGTTTTTTTTTTTAGCACGGGGAAGGAAGATTCCAAAGTGCATCTATTATCAAATCGGTTATATATTTACTATTAGACTATTTATTAGTGTGCAATACTATTATGTTTTATCTTGTGTTTATAATTGTCAAGAAAAAGATAAATTTGTTACTTCTGGTCTTTGACGTCTCTTCTTAACAAAAACATTATTCAACAAAGAATATTCCAGTGAAAGCTGAAGAGTATATAGCCCACCATGAATTTGAACATAAGAATCCAAGTATATTAAGTTGTGTTTATTTACAGAAAACATTTTTCGATTTTCTATTTATGTTTCAAAGAAAACAGTTTTTTTTTTTTTTTTTTTTAAACAGTTTTTTTTTTTTTTTTTTTTTGAAATGAAACTAGAAAATAGAAAATATATAATGAGTTCACTAATAACATGAAAAATTTATATTTTAAATTTAACTTCATAAACATTATTCATAACTTTTATTATTTTAAAACAAATAAAAATGTTTATTAAAATAAATTTAGAAATTTTCATGTTAAAAATTTTTTAAATTTTTATTATTGATTATTTATAATATCGATATCATTTTTTATCATTGCTATTAAAAATAAAGGAATCATAATGTATCTATAAAAATAAAATTAATTATTTATTAAAGATAATATAAATTTTTTCTTTATTTAAATATTTTTTATTTTTTTTAAATAAAAATATTGTATAGAAAAAATTTATTTGTAAATATTATAATTTTATTATGAAAATGTCATTTTTAAAAAATAGAAAACAATTGGAAAATATGTTCTTTTTTATAAGAAAAACACTGAAAAATAAAAATTAAAATTGTTTTTAAATTTCAGTTAAATTTAGAAAATTTAAAAAACCATTTTTCTAATTTTCTACAATAGAAAATCGATCGATTTGATATAAAATTGTTATTTTTCTATTTTTTTGAAAAACATTATTTAAAAAAAATTTACTCAGCCCTTAGTATTTTAACGTCTCTGGCCTAAAGCGTTGCACGCCTTTCACTCCGAAAATGCTTAATTTCTTTACCTTTTCAAGATAAGGCCTAACTGAGTGAACTTAGGAGCTGTGTAGAGGATTACTTTAGGATTTTGATTAAACCAAATGCCACTAGTTGATTTAGTTTGAGTTAGAAGGTTAGCCAACGAAGCGTGCACATCTTTTAGCTAAAAATCATTTGTCGTTGAATACTTACTTTCGTTTTCTAGATTAAGTTTCTCTCATCTTAAAAAAAAAAAAAAAAAAAAAAAAAAATAAAAAAAAACTAAGGATAAGGATGTATTCTATCTATAAGTTTTTTTTGAGAAGAAAATTCTATTATGTTTATTAGTATTAAAAAATCTCTATGGCAAATTATAAAGATAGAAAATATTAATACTTTGATTGGAAGAAGAAAATAATGAAAGAAGGAAATGAATTGAAAAAAATAATAAAGAATTATCAATTTTCTTTTCCAAATTTATTTTCACACTTGTTTTTTGGGATAGAATGAAAGGAAAAAATGAATTTATTTTCTTTTATTTGGAAGGTCAAAATTTTTTTAAAAAAAATATTATTGAAAATTGAGAATTATGTCCTCATTTATTTTTAAACAATAAAAGAATTTTAAATTATTTCAGGCTATTTTAATAATTTAATAAAAATTATTGAAATTCTCAATTTTCTCTATCATTTTTCTCTCAAAATTAAAGAAATTGATAATATACTACTTGGGAATAAAATAAATATACTTCCTTAAATATCATATTTTTTCTCTCATACCGCAAATAAAAAAAAACATTAGGTCTCTAAATATTCTCTATAGTTATCTTTCTTTCTTTAAAAAAAAAAAAAAAAAAAAACCCTCTAAATAAACAAATGCTAAAGGGTTAAGGACTTATTTTCTGATGTTAAAATAAAATACATTATGCATTGGCCAAGAAAAATAAGCTAACGTTGTGACGCTGTGAGATTAGAAATTTCTGAGAAGCGTGTTTTAGTTCGCCTGATTAAGTGATGGACCACAATTGTAATAACAGGACACTATTCATTTCCTATTTTTATTTTTAATTTTGACTTTTTCTTATGGCCCCAAAGTTACTCGTGACATGATTTGATTTTTGATTGCCCTATTGGCAGTCCATGCTTATTTATTTTTATTTTTTCTGAAAGAAACAGCAATGAAGTATTTCTTGTCAACTGCTTTCATATCTGTCGTTTCATCCCATCCATCGATATAAGAATGTCTTCTTTCTTAATGTTTTAGCTTAACCCATAAGCCTCCGTTGAATCAACACCAGATCTTCACTTCTCCTCTTTTTTAGCTTCTATATAAATCACCCACTCATCTTCTCAAAACAAGAATTCGAAATTCTTGCCGCCAAGTCCATTCCCCCACTTACCCATAATTAGGCCACCTCCACCTCCTCCAGCAAACTCTCCATCGATTCTCTCCAAAATATCAAATCGATACGTCCCGTTTTGCTCCTCCAGTTTGGCTTCCTTCGTGTCCTCCTAGTCTCCTCTCCATCCGCCGCAGGAAGAATGTTTTTACCAAAAACGATATCATCTTTCGCCAACCGCCCTCGTTTCTCCACGGCAAGACATAGGCTACAGCTACACGAGCCTTGCTTGGGCTTCCTACGGAGACCATTGGCGCAACCCTCCGTAAGTTGGCAGCGCGTTGGAACTCCTATCCTCTTTACCGTCTCCATTACTTCTCTAACATACGCGCAGGATGAGGTTGAAGTTACTGATTCGTCGTTTATTTAGAAAAAAAGACGAGACGGCAGTGGATTTGAAATCGCATTTTTGAGCTGACGCTAAACGTAATGATGAGGATGATAGCCGGAAGAGTATTATGAGGAACGTGGAAGAAGGGGAGGAGCAGTGAGGTTTCGAGAATCGGAGGGAGACATTTCCGTTTGGGTGGTGCATCGAATAGGGCGGATTATTTGCCCATTTTAAGGCGAATAGGAAAGACAGAAAAGAAGCTTATGGAGTTGCAGAAAAGGAAGAGATAAGTGTATACAAGATTTGATCGACGAAACATAGGAAAAAAATGGGCCGCCTCGGATGAGAAGGAGGAGAGAAAACAGACGTTGAATTAAGGTGTTTATTAAACGCTGCAGAATCGGACCTGAGTTCTACAAGGATGAAAACTATCAAAAGGCCTTTTTATCTTGGTTGAGATCTATACTGATTTCCCTCTCTAGTTGGCCTGCTTTTCTCCCACGCCAGTTTGTGTGAAAAGAAAACTGAAAAAAGTTTGAAATTTGTTCCGAAAACAATATAGAAATAAAACTTGGTCTAACTTTTGACTTACTACAACACGGGCCCCTATGAATGTTTTAACAAATAAAATGATAGAACCTGCAAACTGAAGTTAGTCAACAAATGCGTAGATAATTACTCAAAACATAATTTTGTTTAGAAAAATGTTCAGTTTAGCATTGGTGGTGGGTTGCAATATACAAATTTATGTAAAATAAATTTTTTTATACAATTATAGCTAAACTTTTAATCTCGTGAAATATATTTATTTAAAAATTAATGTCTTTAAATAAAGATAACTCAAACTTTACTCAAATCATCAAAAGATTTCAGTTTTTCAGCCGAACTATTTTTTAATATTTTAATGTTTATATTTTTATAAAATGATAATTTTTTCTTTTAATAATTTAATAAACAATATATTTTATCAATTAATTATTAAAAAAATTAAAAATTCTTAAGCAAATTTGTATATCGCCCACCTACGTTATAGAGCAAATTAGACCCTATATCTCTAATTTGGTTTTAAGGAATTTAATACTCTTGGTAGGCTTGAGTTCCTTTTAAATTGTCAACACGTAGTTGTTAGGTTTCACTATTCATGGGCATTCAGATTTAACATGACTCACTTTCATGGCATTCAGATTAACGTTGATTTACTATTAACTAATAAAAAATTTTCGGTAGTTGGGGTGTGTTAGATATAATTTCCAAATATTGTTTATTTAATCTTTGATAATTGTATATATATGTCTTAATGCATTGAATTTACTTCAATCTCACAGACATCTACTGCAGCAGGAACTGATACTTCAGCTACAACTATGGAATGGGCAAGTGTACTTCTAGTAAACAATCTGGAAATTCTAGAGAAAGCGCAGAACGAAATTAGACATTTTTGTGGGAACGATAATTTAGTGGCTGAATCTGATATACAAAGCTTCCCTATCCTTCACTGCATTATAAATGAAGTTATGGCGACTTTACCCAGCAGGTCCATTGCTTACTTTCCTCATGAGTATCAGAGGAAGGCTCTATTGGAGCTACCGTGTGCCTTCGCGGGCAACAAATGACTAGTGAACTTGTGGTGCATACAGATGATCCTGGACTTTTGGGAGGAAACCCACAAAATTTAAGCCAGAAAGGTTTGAAGGGTGTATGAGGGTGTTAGAGATTGGTTCAGTTCAATGCTTTTGGTTTCAGGAAGGAGGAGTTGTCCTTGGAGAGGGGGTTGGGCTTATGCGCATGATTGCTTGACCTTTGGGGTCACTCCTTCAGTTGCTTTGGTGGAAGAGAGTTGGCAAGGAAATGGTGGACATGACCGAGGGTCTCTGGAACTCCACTATGGCCTAAGGCACAGCCTTTGCTGGTTGAATGTAGACTGTCCATCCATGGCGAATCTCCCATATTCTCAAGTTTTGAATTCCAAATCTTATGGAAAATTATTATATATAGTCTAAGTCCTAGGTATCTCTTTTATTGGTTTGACGCATTAATAAATTTTCAGTCAATTGGGACCTGATGGATCGAAAATGTATTAATTTTTTAGTCCTAACTAATGTTTTTAGAAGAATGTAAACTAATTAACTAATTACGGACATCTGCTCAGCGTTTAAATCTAAGTGAAATGAGAGATTATAAAAAAAAGGTTTTAACTATTTCATTTCCGATTGGTATAGATTTAAAAAAAAAAAAAAGAAAAAAGAAAAAAGAAAAGGATGATTTCTTATATCATTTACAATTAGAAAATTCTTGTTGTATGATTCATAATAATTTGCTTCTGGTTTATTTCAAAGCCAAGCTACCCATTCAATATCACGATTACAATTTTTATCCTTTTTTATTTTAATCCGTAAAATTTCAGAATGCGTCCTTCTCTGCA